GCACTTGGTGTAATGGTTATGGCGGAAATGAGAGGCCCGTAAACACCTCTTGTTGGTATTACGTTTGTGCCTTTCCCTAACCACTTCAAGTGGATCTCCAACGTACTTCCATTCACTTGAACATCATCAATTTGCCTTATGAACGGTTTACCAACTCCACCTGCTCTCTCTGCTATGTTAAAGTCCCTCTCCAACAAATTCCCCTGCACAAGATAATACTATTTTTAATTCTGAAACTGAAACTTTATTTTGGGAAAAAATGATTTCTTCTTTGTTCTGCAAAACTCACTTGGACATAAATGTCGAATATTCGCCGCCCTAAGCTACTATAAGTCTGGTCATTTGAGAACGTAATCTCTGCAAAATGGAGCTGCACTTTGTAACTTCCACTTATCATGCAGAGTCCATAGTACTTGAGTGATTGTGAAGCAAGACGGGCAGTTTTGTAATACTCTGGACTTGATTCATTGATCAAGTTAAATGTGTCTGTTGCTAAGTAGAGAGCACCGTCATTGCCTAACCAAGCTCCAGAACTACTGTATCCCCATCTTTCAGAGTCAGAAGAGAATGTTGATGCTCCTCTCTTGTTTAAGTCATCCGCATACATGTGTTTACCAACCTTGAGTTTGTTACCTCCACAGTTGATGAACAAGGAAGAATCTGCGAGAAACTTTTTCAGGTCATTTTTTTCTTCTAGAAAAAGTTTAAATCTTGAAAGTTGGAATTTACAACTTACGTTCTGCGTCTTTAGGACATGGAAGATCCTTCCTCAAGCACCATTGCACACTACACAAGTAGGTGGTACTTTGCGGTAAGTATCTTTGGTTTACGGGTTTTATATGAACCAAAAAGAGGGGAGAAAGAAGACTCACGAGTTATTGGTTGCTGATGGGTAGCTGGAGATCAAGTTCCTGAAAATATTAACCAATAATGCTTATGAGAAAAACATATAAACGATATGAAGCTGAAAATTACTGATGTCAAATAACAAAGACGCTTACACATCAAGCTGATTACAGCTTACAGTAGGTGGCTGAGTGAAATTGTTGTAAGATAGATCACTGAAAACAGATCAAGAAATTAAGGACGTTGATCGATGCAGATGTATTCTGAATTTTGGACTTCGAGGTAGTTAGTTAGTTTGCTTACATGTTTTGTTTACTATCCAGAATGAACTGAGGAACTGGACCAGTCAATGAGTTATTATTCAGATACCTAAAGCAGCAAAGGTTAATTAACAAACAGTTTAAGTAAGATTTATATCATCCATGTTGATAAATTTGAAACTTACATAAAGTTAAATGCCTCAAGATTCCGAAATGTGTCTGGAATTACACCAGTTAGCATGTTTGAGCTTAAATCTCTGCACACACACAAATACTTCAATGTGAGATCTTTGATCAAATTATTAGTCTTTAAGCTGTAAAAGTAGCACGTGAGTTTTGACTTACAGTAACTTCAGCTGCTTACTCATGGAGGTACCAATGTATTCAGGAATAAGTCCCTTTATCAAACAGTTTCTTAGTACCCTATGAAAAGTTAATAAGCAAAGAAGATATGTAAATGTTGTTTGATGAAACAGAGTTTATAACATGAGTAAAGTCAAAGTTATTAACACTTACAGTCGTTGCATATTCGTCATATTTTTCAGGTCTGGAAAAGAAGATGTCGGTCCATGCAAATCGGTTATCCTCCTGATAAAGGAGAGAGAGCTTTATGACTAAGCTCAAAAGGTATTGTGAAACTCTTTGCTTACTTACAATTCAGTCAAGTTCTTCAAGTTTGATATTGAAGCTGGAATTGGACCTTCCATTGATGTGCCTTCGAGGTCTCTGCAGATTAAACAATTCAGTCTTACTAAAAATTTTACAGTAAGCTGAAAATTTAAATGATGGTTACTCACAGCCTAGTGAGCTGAGTCCAGTTTCCAATAAAATCAGGTATCTTCCCTGATAGAGAGTTTCCATCAATCCGACTGCAAGAAACAGATGAAAATTTTAGAATCATTCCAACATTTTCGAAATCCCACTGTACTTCTTGATACTTACAAATCAGTCAAGTTCTTGAGGCTGCTCAAGGACTCAGGGATCCGACCCGTGAAATTGTTTGAAGAGATTAATCTGTAATCATAAATATACCAAATCACTAAGTAAAACTACAATAATAATACATATACATAAGAAGAAGAAAAAGTATATATAATAAAGGATCTTACAATCTACTCAAGCTTTTTAAGTTCCCTAGGTTTGAAGGAAGTGTTCCTGTGAACAAATTAGTTTCCAAATGCCTGCAATTATTTTATTTTCCATATTAGAGTCTCCTATAAATTCTGATTAGAAGAAAAGAATATCAGATATGTAAATATTACAGTTGAGTAAGTGTGGTAATATCTACGATACTAGGAGGAAATGGTCCGGAGAGACGGTTTCCGGTTACAGCCCTGTTAGTTGCAGAAAACAAAAAGGCAAGAATCAGTACAACTAATCGATCATCACAAGAAAAAGATATATGAATTGGAGAGAACGGTTACAAGATTTCAAGTGGAATTCGAGACAATGTCTTAGGTATTGTTCCACTGAGAAAGTTCAGCACAAGATCTCTGTAAGAAGAAGAAAATCCAAGAACAAAGAGTGCTTAAGCCCCAATAAGCCGTCGGACATTTTAGCTATGATCCATTGAGTCAGTGACAGTAAAATCAAGAAACAAAGATCTGAGGTTCGTACATCTCTCTAAGACGCGTGAGGTTCCCGAATTCTGGCGGGATAATTCCTCGCAAATTGAAACCTCTAAGCTGTCTGTTGATGAAAATGATAAGAAAAAAAAATATATATTTTTCAGAACCCTAAATCTGTTTCTTGCTTGGAAAGTTAGGGAGATGACATATGGATAAACATATACATGGAAGTGACACGACAGACAGAACTGGCGTTGAAGGTACAGTCGCAGGCGATGTTACTGGTTGCTTTGGGGGATGAGTCGGTAGTAAAGTTCCATTTCCCGTCGGAACAAGAAGTCTTCTCGACGTGCACTGTTTGGTGCTGAAGCTTTCTAAAGATGGTTCGCAATGTTTGAACTGTTTCAAAAAAATTGACAATACATTTGACGGCTAAGATTTAAAGCCAATCCAAGCTTTTTATATAAATAAAATAAAAGAGAATGAGATATAAATAACTGTACTATAAAATATCTCATTCACAGAGATTTTCGCAACGTCTCTCTCTCATCAACCCAACTTGCACATATTATTATTTTTGTCACCGTAGAATTTTATTACAAAATAAAATAAAAATTAGTCACGCATTTACAAATTGACCAATAATAGAATATAGGGAAACAAAAAATAATAGAATATAGATAACTCTATGGTTCATTTTATTTTATTTCTAACTCATGGATCGTTATAAAAATATAAACTATTTGATTCAGATGTGTTTTAAATATAAAAAAAAAGACTACCATGATTCACGACGACCAAATAAATACTACCATACAATTATAAATCCATTGACGACCAACATCAACAGCAAATATATATATATTTAATAAACAACAATATAGTTTTACTCGATAACTTAAAAAAAAAAAGGATAATTTTTATAAATGTATTTAAAGCAAGAATCCAATAATTTGACACTCTTTTTTCTATATAAAGCAACAATCCAATTATAATTATACAATTCATCGAAAAATAAAGTCGAATCGGCGAGTCAGTGAAGAAATCTTGTAACTGGAAATGTAAATATGTAATAGAAAGAGTAAACCCCAAAAAAAGAAAAGAAAAAGAGTAAGATAGAGAAAGGACCTTCATCGTCTGGCAAAAATTGAGCATTTGATGCGAAGAAAATATCGAAGCAGATGATGAAGATGAAGAGAAGAGCATACTTCACTTTCTCTCCCGACATTAACAATCCCATTTCTTTTTTCTCTCTCTCTCTCGGGAAAAAAAAAAAAGAGACCAAAGTGATTGAGAGAGAAAGAAGAAGAAGAAAGCAGCTTTTTAAAGTGTATAAAATGGATAAAATAATATTTTAGCCATCGGATCTGAATAATTATTAGGAATATTTGTGGGTATTCATTGACATCTTTCTAGTCTTCTTCGTTTTATCTATGTTTTAATTAAATCACTAAAATACAACAAAAATACAAAAATAAAAATATGTGTCGATAAATTTTATGATTTCCTCTTATTTATATACTTATGATATTAATATTATGTTACGTTATTTTTTGTGGTCAAATTTATATTTGAATGTGTAAATTCTTTTCTTGCAAACACAACATCATTAAGAGTCTTAATTTTTTTTTTTTTTTTTTTTTGAATGAATGTGAAAATATATTCAAAACAAAAAAAGTTTTTATATCAGAGCAAATTTAAAGAGCAACAAATAAATTTCCGAAAGAAAAGAGGAGGTAATTAGCTACCCGTAGCTAACCAAAATTGTAATCCATCGCCATACTTTGTCGTGTTTGCTTGCATTGAAAGGAGCTTGTTAAGAGTCTTAATTTGACAACTCTTCAACGTTAAAATTAGAAAACATAACGAATAAGATTTTTTTTTTGTTTTTTTACATTTACATATTACTCTATTTTAAATTTATTCTAAATTTTGTGAAATCTTTTAGGTTTAGTGTTTTTTTTTTGGCATCTATCTTAACATTTTTCAAAAACCGCTAAAAATGTATAAATCATTTAGACACTTATTTATCTATAGATAATTGTGATCCGCTAAACAGCTTACTTAACTCATAAATAACCCTTAGACCATCTCCATTGAAGAGTTGTTATCATAAGTTGCTTATCTTAGAGAGAGAAAAAATATTAAAAAAAAATTATGTGAGTTGCTTATATAGTATAAAATCTACCTTCAAAAGTGCTTAAACATGAGATTTAAGGAACTTTTGAAATGTTTTTTCACTATTTAAGCAACCCATCAAATTAAATAACAATATTTGTATAATTTTAGTGATAAGCACTTCATATTAAACAACTATGGTTGGAGATGCTCTTACTTAACTCATAAATAACTCAGCTTATTTAACTCATAATTACACTACAACATAATAAATCAAACTCATCAAACCAAAGAAAACTTACAGCGGTAATAACAAAACCTGAAAATAATTTCTTACTGGATGGAATATTGTTGCTGATCCGTAAATTGAATAAAAGAATCTTTAATGATTTACATTTTTATTCATTACTCAATCTTCACATCGGTGAGATCATCTAAAAGTTTCCTCGACGAAGACGATGAACGTGCTTCTTCTTGCTGTTGTTGGTTAACAGCATCTTTGCTAGGCTCAGAGAAGGAAGAATCAACCCAAGGACCGTCCATCGACGAGGAGCTTATGTGTTGTTGACCGTTTCTTGCATATGTTGAGACCTGTGACGACTCGCTGTCTTGTGACAAAAGCTCAAAGGCCTTAAACCTCATTGCAGCCGAACCACTTGGGTCTGCTTCACGTTTCACCAGTGGTGGTTGGACTTTGATTTTTCCTTCTAGCATTTTTACAACAGATGACATTGGTGGTCTCAATGTTGGTGATGGGTTTGTGCATAGTAAAGCTATGTTCAACATCCTCATTGCTTCTTTCTTCGAAAAGCTTGTACCGAGATCTGGATCCACGAGTTCTAGAAGACTCCCCTGTTCTTGCAAGACATATGCCCAATCAAGAAGGTAAACAAACTCTTCTTTTGGTCTGTAGTTTGTGTTGCTCTTTCCGCTAACAATCTCTAAGCAGACAACACCGAAACTGTAAACATCTGCTTTGTCTGTTAAGTAACCTCTCATTGCATACTCAGGAGCCATGTAACCTCTGCATCAATGATATATAGAGTCGGTTATAGCTTAACCGCTCGCTATGAAAATTAGAAAAGATAAGTAATGAACACTCACATTGTTCCTGCAATCCTTGTGCTGATATGTGTATTCTCATCTTCGTCGAGTTTAGCTAGACCAAAATCAGAGATCTTAGCATTTAGAGACAGATCAAGAAGCACATTCGTCGCTTTTATGTCTCTATGAACAATCTTCAGCCTTGATTCCTCGTGAAGATAAGCCAATCCTTTTGCAATCCCTATGCATATCTTATTCCTTGTTGGCCAATCCAAGTGAAGTTTCTGTTTCTCCGTACCTGTTAAGATAACCCCCAAGAGACTTTAGCTTAAAGATGAAGAACTTGTCTTTCTCAGATGGATAAAGAAACTAACCAAAGAGTGCGCGAGCGAGACTATTGTTCTCTAAGTACTCATACACAAGCAAAAGCTCTTTCCCCTCAATGCAGCAACCATAAAGTTTCACAAGATTTGGGTGTTGCAACGCAGAGATCATCCCGATCTCAGTCACAAATTCTCTGTTTCCTTGCTTAGATTTTGATGAAAGCTGCTTCACCGCTATGGTCATTCCATCAGCGAGAACACCCTAAGTAACCAATACCCCTTATTAGTACTTACTACTTATAATCCAAACTCAAAGAACTTGTGAAGATGTAAAACCAAAGTAATCATCACCTTATAAACTGGTCCAAATCCTCCTTCACCAATCTTGTTTTCTGGATCAAAGTTATTAGTGGCACGTTTGATTTGTTTCAATGTGAATGATCCTGTCTGCAAATCAAGTCCGCGAAGCTCTTCTGATAAAACAAAACAAGTAATATTTGAAAGAAACAATCAGGTCTTGAAAATGAAAAAGAGCATTTCTTGAAGAGAATGATATTGGCTTTCTTACCATTTTCATCCACTTCTTTTCCACCTAAGTAACCTGTAAGCCTGAGGATTAGAAGTACCAGCAACCCGAAAACCGCGCACACTGCAATTACAATGCCTGCAACTGCTCCATTGGACAATTCTTTCCCGGTATCAACCTTGAAATCTACAACAACAGGCAATAAAACAGAGAAATAACATTCACTCACTTACTCACCCCAGTATCGGTTTAACTAATCGAGAAAGAGTGGAAAGAAAACTCACTTGGTGTAATCGTTATAGCGGATATGAGAGGCCCATAGACAGGTCGTGTTGGTATCATGGTTGTGCCTTTTCCTGTCCATTGCAAATGAATCTCTAACGTACTTCCATTCACTTGAACTTCATTAATTTGTCGTGTGAACGGTTTACCAACTCCACCTGCTCTCTCTGCTATGTTAAAGTCCCTCTCTAACAAATTTCCCTGCACAAGATAATCCCATTTTGAATTCTGATCCAAGAAACTGAAACTGTGTTTTGAAAATATGTTTTTCTGCAAAGCTTACTTGGACATAAATGTCGAATATTCGCCGTCCTAAGCTATTAAAAGTCTGGTCATTTGAGAACATAATCTCGGCAAAATGGAGCTGCAATTTATAACTTCCTTTTCTCATGCATAGACCATAGTACTTGAGTGACTGTGGAGAGAGACGAGCTGTTTTGTAGTACTCTGGAGTTGATTCATTGATCATGTTAAATCTGTCTTCTGCCAAGTAGGGAGCATCCTCTTTGCCTACCCAAAGTCCAGAACTGCTGTATCCCCATTTTTCTGAGACAGAAGAGAATGTTGATTGTCCTCTAAAGTTCAAGTCCTCCGTATATGTGTCTTTTCTAATCTTGACTTTGCTTCCTCCACAATTAATGAACAGGGAGGACTCTGCCGAAAACCCGGGAACAAAAAATGAAACTGGTTAGGGTTCTTTCTAGATATGTTTGAATCTTTAAAATGTACACTCACGTTCTGCATCTCCTGGACATGGAAGATCCTCTTTCAAGCACCATTGAACACTACAAAAGTAGAGTTTGATTCTATTGTAAGTATCTTTGGTTTTATGAACCGAAAGGAGGGGAAAAAGAAGACTCACGAGTTATCGGTTACTGATGGGTAGCTGGAAATCAAGTTCCTGTAAGTTTTAACCAATAAAGCTGGTTAAGAAACCTATAGACAGAGTTAAGTTTAAAAATCACGGATATGAAACAACAACAATGCTTACACATCAAGATGACTACAGCTTAAAATAGGTGGCTGAGTGAAATTGTTGTCAGATAGATCACTGAAAACATATCAAGAAATTAATAACCCGATCAGCGCAGAGGATATACCGAAGTTTCAACCTCGTGGTTTAGTTAGTTTGCTTACAGGTTTTCTTTACTGTTGATGATGAACGGAGGAACTGGACCAGTCAATGAGTTATTATTCAGATACCTAAAGCAGCAAAGTAGTTAACAATTAGTTTTTTTGAGTAAAGATTTATACCAGATATATTGATAAATTTGAAACTTACATAAAGTTAAATGCCTCAAGATTTTTAAATGAGTCTGGAATTGCACCAGTTAGCATGTTTGAGCTTAAATCTCTGCATACACACATACCTTAATGTGAGATCTTGGATTAAATTATTAGTCTTTAAGATGTAAACTTAAGCAAGAGAGTTTTGACTTACAGTGCCTTAAGCTTACTCATGGAGGTACCAATGTATGCTGGTATAGGTCCCCTTATCCCACAATTTCTTAGTACTCTGATGAAAGTTAGTCGAATGTTAAATCTTGTTTGATGAATTATAACTTGAGTTGAATCAAAGTTAAACACTTACAATCGTTGCATATTCGTCAAATTTTGCAGGTCAGGAAAAGAAGAGGGCGGTCCACGCAAATCGGTTACCCTCCTGATAAAAGAGAGCTTTGTTAAGCTCAAAAGTTTTGAAGAGCATGTAAAAGAAGGTATTATTAAACTACTTTGCTTACTTACAGTTCAGTCAAGCTCTTCAAGTTTGATATTGAAGCTGGAATTGGACCTTCCATTGATGTGCCTTGAATGTCTCTGCAGATTAAACATTTTAGTCACTACAAATCTCATAGTGTTCTTTAGAAGATTAAATCCAAGAAATAATGGTTACTCACAACCTAGTGAGCTGAGTCCAGTTTCCAATAAAATCAGGTATCTTCCCTGATACAGAGTTTCCATCAATCCGGCTGCAAGAAACAGAGGAAGCTTTTAGAATCATTCCAAAACAATTAAAATTTTCGAAATCTCACACTGTTTCTTTCAACTTACAACTCAGTCAAGTTCTTGAGATTGCTAAAGGACTCAGGGATTTGACCGGTGAGGTTGTTTGAAGAGAGAAGCCTGTAATTATAAATAGACCAATCACTAAGTAACTTCAATAATAATATATAAAAGAAAGAACAAAAAAAACAAAGTATATATAGGATCTTACAATCTTTTTAAGCTTCTTAATTTCCCTAGGTTTGAAGGAAGTGATCCTGTGAATAAATTAGTTTCCAAATTCCTGAAATATGCTTCATACATATTAGAATCTAGAGTCTAGATAACTTTGGTTTGAGGAAAACAAGATAAGATATGTAACATTACACATCAGCAAGTGTAGAGATCTCTCCGAGTTGAGGAGGGAATGGTCCAGAGAGACGGTTTCCGGTTAGAGACCTTTTTAGTAAACAGAAACGCAATAGAATCAGTACGACTTTGTTGTCATCACATAAATGAAGTAAAAATATATGTATTGCAGAGAATGGTGGTTACAAGATTTCAAGCGGAATTTGAGACAACGTCGCAGGTATTGTTCCATTGAGAAAATTACGAGACAGATCTCTGTAAGAAAAACGAAAGAGAAAACACAAAACAAAGATTGCTTGAGTATCAAGTCTCGAAACTTCTTATGAAGAATCAAGAAACAGAGATCCTTCGATGAGGAAAAAGATGTGCTTACATCTCTTGAAGCTTTGTGAGGTTTCCGAACCCAGCTGGGATTATTCCGGCCAAGCTGAAACTTTTGAGTTGTCTGTTGATAAAAAAATCAAGAAGAGAGAAAGTTTATGTTTAAGAAACCTATACACTCTGTTTCTTGCTTGGAAAGTCACCGGAGATGAGAAATATATAGAGACTTACATGTTTGTGACATGACAGGTTGAGTTGGCGTTGAAAGTACAGTCGCAGGTGATGTTACTGGTTGGTGGGTTGGGCGATGTGCTGCCATTAAAGTTCCATTTTCCGTCCGTACAAGAAGTCCTCTCGATGTTCACTGTTTGGTTTTTAAGCTCTTTAAAGATGGTTCGCAACGTTTGAACTGTGCAAAACAAATAGTCAAAACCATTTAAAAGTCAAACAATTGGTATATAAATGAGGAAAGTCCAATTAATGAATTTAAGAATGGCTGATGAAAGAGTTAATACTATAAAAAAAACCATCTCAATCTGATTATCTGAACGTCTCTATTATTAAGCCAACTTGCACATATTGAAAGAGATATATTCATTTATAAACATGTACTGTACATCTTTGAGAAAAATTATACATTATTAAGAAATTCATACAGTTATAAAAATTTAAGGATCTTATAATAAAAATGGTAATATCCGTAATCAGATTGGTTTCATTTTATCATTCTGAGTTTGTGATACAAATTACACATGAAAATATCTTTCAAAAACAAAAAAAACGTGCATGTTCTTTAAGTCTAAAGTAAATATTACATGTACCTAATTTTTAAGCTATTGCATCGTGCAACTATGATAAGGTCTCCCTATGATAACCAATACCATTCAATTATTGAGGTAAGTAGGTCCAATACTAGTTTCCAGCTTTTTTCCATAACATTAAAAAAAAAAAAAGTGATGACTTCAGAAATTTTAAAGCTTAAACTACCAAAAACGAAAACTAGTAATGGAAAACCTTTTGACAGATTCACTATCTCTAGTTGTGGAATTCTCGAATTTAGTTTAGGTACGTATAAGAGAAATCCACAAGAAAACCACAAGTCAACTATATATATAGTTTGGTCAAATCCTTTAGCACACAATAAAAAATTTAGTTAGGTTTTTCTTTTTGTTTTTATTTCTTTTCCAAGAAGCATCGAATTATTTTGCTTCGAACCAAAGTCGAAATTTGCGAATTGAAGGAGTTTGTATATGAATTATGAAATGTGGAAAAATACAAAGAAGAAGAAGAGAAACGAACCTTCGTCTTCTGGCAAAAGTTGAGCATTAGATCCGAAATTTCCAAAGCAAATGAAGATGAGAAGAAGAAGAAGAACATACACAACTCTCTCGATCGAGAAGATGAAACCCATCATCTCTCTGTTTTTTTGTAATTTTCTGGGGGAAATAGACCAAACAGACTCTCGAAGAGGCTATAGTAGACACGAATGCGATAGAGATACAGAGGAAGTTGAGACTTGAGAGAGAAAGTGGAAGAAGAAGAAGAAATAAACTGTTGGAGAAAATGTATGTCTTTTCAGTGTTCGTTCATATCTTATAACAATATATCAAAATCTCATATGTCGAAATAAAATAATGAAAAAACAAATCTGATAAAATTATTTGATTAAATATGTAGCCGCCGGAAATGAATAATTTTTGTGGGGCTAACAACGGACTGCTTTCTAATCTTCATTTTTATTTTAAATTATAATCTTAAATTTTTGATGAATTATAAGTTTGCATTTCTTAAAAAATTATACATATTTGGAATAAATTAGTGATTTAAACCCAGCAAGATCTACTAATTATAACTATATAATGAATGAATCATTATTGTATTTATTTATTTTAGATTAAAATCCAATAAATATCTTACAAATAAAAATTGTAAAAAAACCTAAATTTACTAAATATTATGAAATTGGTTTTATATTATAATTACACGATACTACCCAGAAGGATCCACGTTCGTCTTCCGCTGTTTCTGACGATACATTAATTAGTTAAACAAACTATTACTACAGCACCTAACTACAAGTCTACAACGTAACAAAGACCATGCAAAAAGGTTATATTTTTTTTTCTACCTTTTTAAACAAATAAATGAATTAAGATATTTATGTTTTTTTCTTGACTCCCATTTTTTTAACTTTACTTTTAAACATATCAAAAACTTTTTCATCTGCCTAATTTTGAATCCCCGTAGGCTGTACTGCTGTAGTCCAAAAGGAATGGCTGCGATGTTGTCTATAAGCAGCCATACTTTGCCCCAAAATCTTGATTGTATTATTGTCATAGAACTCTTACAAAGATTTTTTTTTTTTTTTTTTGAAACAGGACTCTTACAAAGATTTCTTGTCTTTAAAGTGTATACTTGTAAATACATTTATATTTTACATACAGTATTTATATATCCCTACAAAATATCGATCATATATATTTTTTACTTATTATGGATCTAATCTTTTTGGAAGTTCTAACATAATTATTCTGTTTGTCGTGATATTATATATGGCAAAGTAGTTGGTATTCAATCAATTAGTTCTGACCGTCCCAATTTTGGTTCTTTGAACATGTAAGCCTATGCTGAAAGTTTTAAACTATGTCTATGCATTTTCTCTTTCAAAATCAAAACAATATATATAACAAGGTTTTGCAAAAATCAATAAGAGCATCCCCATTGCACTCTTATGGAGATGGTGTAATTAATGGGCAATTTTAATAAAGTTGATTCATATATTCTTTCTTTTTTTTGTAAAGGATACATATATCTTAATTGATTTTTTTTTTAAGTAAAACTTATAACATTCAATAATATTATCTCTTTTGCATTTTTGTTTAAGTTCACATATGTTTGATATTTTAGGTAAGTCAAATTTTAAAATATTATATATATATTTCTGTTATATAGTCAATTGTAATTTGAAACTGTGTATTTTTACAATTAATACATTAAATTAATATGTATTTTAGTATACATATATAAACCAACATAACCCGTATTTTCCAAAATCAAATTAGCTCCTTTTTCGATTTCAAGTATAAACTACATATACTTTAATTTTTTTTTTTAATGTGAATTTAATAATTCAAGTATATGTGATTTATGTCTGAGACAAATTATCTTTCGGCATCCACCACTGCTATTGACTCTAAAAGTCTTTTCCTCTGGTTTTGTTTTTGTTTAGTTTTGTAGACGAAAATTAAGCAAGTAGGCTATGAAATGGTGACACATTGCAAATCCAAATGTATACTAAAGTTGAAGTAGAATAGAAGTGATAAAAACAAAATCCTATTAATATAAATTGGATGTAGTCATTTGGAAGATGGTGGTAAGTATTGTTATCATGTGATGTGTGTCACATATTATAACTTGGATATGTGTTGGAGATTAATCTAAGATTTTATATTTTTCTACACATATTTATTTATTAAATTGAAAAGAAAATAGCACTGGAAGGAAAACAAAATCAATTTAATACACAAGCGAACAAAACTAAAAGAAAAGGATTTTTATTTTATTTTTCTATACACAATTAAAATAAAACAATGTCAAATGATTCATTACTGTGAAATATATTTCTTGCTTTTTTGTTTTTACAAACTTGATATTTAAGGTATGTAACTTCATCACCATGTAGTGATTGAAAACAAAAATTCTTATTTAGTATAAAAGTTTCCATATAACTTTGATGTTGTTACTAATCCCTTATATATATTTTGATAGCTATTCTAAAGAGAGATCTAGACAAAAAGAAAATCTAGCTGAGATACTTAACAATTAATAATATGCATACTTTTTTTGTTTTTTTAAACTAAATGGCTATTTAAAGGAAGTTTTTTTTTTCTTAAACATGTTTACTCTTCTAAAGATTCTTATTTTACCTGACTTTTGATAAATTAAGTAGTCAGCTGAAATTAATTTATCTTCTATAAGAATCGAGGCTAAAGATCGTACACATAGACATTATCAAGGCCACTAGTGTGTTGGCGTGTTGCTAGACAAAGATTTAAATTCGAAAATATCTTAACTTTGGTCTTGCCAAGCTTGATGAAGAGGACAACACTCACATTAACGTTGCAAGTGTCAAATCAATAATCAATCAAAAGTCAATGAGAAAGGTCATGTCATGCAAGATTTGCTTATAACATACGATACGATACAATCTTTTGCAACATTTTCGCAGCGGTTCTATGGCTCCAGAGTATGCCATGAGATAACTACAGCTTTGGTGTTGAGAGACCAGAATAATCTGTTGGAACTGGTGGATCCGAGACTAGCTAAGATCAGATTACAACAGAGACGAAGCAATGACCATTATCCAAATTGTGATGATGTGTACAAGCTCAGAGCCGTGTGATAGACCGTCAATGTCAGAAGTGGTGAAGATGTTAAGAAGTTGGTGGAAATGGAGAAACTTGAGGATGCTTAAATCCATAGAGACACAAAGAGACTTGAAAACATGAACACAATGAAGTATTACGAAAATAATAGGGCAAGAGATAAGTACGAGTATGAGCATGATCATCAATGATCAAAGTAAATCATCATCAGATTCAGATCATTAGCAAGTTTGTGTAAATAACAGATTAAGATGACACTCAAAGAACTGTCTTTAGATTTCCAGAAACAATCTGAGTTCTTAGGTACAAGTCAGAGAGAGAGAGAGAGAGAGAGAGATGTGGCCTGTGGGTATCAATCTTTTATAAGTGTTAAAATAGACAAAAGCAGAGAATCCTAATGTAACTACTTACACACAAGATTTACATTTGGTTCTTCTTTTCTTTTGTTTGTCTTTTCCAAATATTCTTGATCTTCAATCAATTTTCTTCCACAAAGTTGGTAGGCTCGCTTAGAACATACTTAGGTAGCTCATACTTGGCACCTGCAGGGCAATAACAAAACTAGTTAGGACCATGAACTATAAGGATGTATAGATATGAGGGTCTTAATGTAATTAGTTATCTCTAGGTTACTTAAGTGTCTGTATATATATATGTAAACTCACTATCAATAATAATAACATTCATTCTCTATATGAACAACAATCACGAGGCAAATGCAAAAAGATTTGAATGTTCACCTCTCTCGTCATAGCAGACTGTGAGATCCGTGTTCTGAACAATAACTCCTGCACTGTCTACAATTGCTTGTGCAAGAGATATGTCAGCTTCAGCAGCAGCGCGAAGAGCGTCCCATATCTCTGCGATTACCAAGTGCAAAATACACCATGTTGTTACTAAGATTAGATGCAAAGAGCGGAAAAACAAAGTGTATCATTATTTTGACACAAAATCTATGTTATTCCTCTCGCTGTAGTATATAATTACATTGACACAAACTAATTTCCCTGAAGTTGAATGGTAAACACTTAAAAATTCTCAACCTAGTAAAATATGTTTTAATACTAGTCTGCTACAGAGCAGCAATAAGGGTCCTTAGCTCAGTGGTAGAGCAATTGACTGCAGATCAATAGGTCACCGGTTCGAATCCGGTAGGGCCCTTAATTTTTTTACCTTTTCATCCTTCCTAATCCATACAATTCCTTTTCTACAGTTCCTTAAGTAATCAATGACTATACTATGTTCAGCTCTGTGTAACTCATCTCAAACAACCACAGGATTCATAGCTCAGTGATTGTCTGATTGAGTAGGTTACTACTCATTGGTTCAAACCAGTAGGACTCAACACTCTCTCCTTCCCTAACACCAATCCTTTTTCACAAAAACCTTGCAGACCAATGCTTATTCTATAATCTTTTTATGTGTAACTCATTAATAAACAACCAAAGGGTTCTTAGCTCAGTGGTAGAGCAATCACTAATATCCCTTTTCTACAAATCATCCAATTCTTTTATGTCTCAAAACTCCACTCAAAAACCAAAACCAAGGCAAGCTCAAGAAGTAAGCAACAGTTACCTTTCCTACCGCCATAATGAGGAGCAGTGTCCCAAAACTCTTCTCTCAGTTTCATAAGCTCAGCTTTCGTGATCGGTTGGGTATGCTTCCATGGTTTCGGCTTCCTAATTTTCTTCACTGACCCTGTAAACAAACAAAGAAGTTATCCATCTGATGCAATGCATAATTAAAGGATCTAATATGCATCACCAACCATAGGCATTGACCATACTAGTCCCCAATCAAGACAAGAATCTAAAACATTAAAAAACCTTCATTTCAATCAATTAACTAAAACATCATAGATATCAATACACGGGGATAACATCAGCTCATGCTACTGCCATGAAGAATTGTAACTAAACCAAACCCCATAACATCAGATAAAACCTAAACCCTAAAATTTCATTGAACAAAATCTACATTAAGGATGGAGCGAATGAACAATCTAACATATTAATTACATATCTAGGGTTTTTACTCATTGATTCCAGAAGAAAAAAAAGATCCCTTTATCGCCTTATCCAATAATATTGAACAAGTAAAGTCGTAGAACAAGTAAAGATTCGATCTCACCATCTCCTTGCGACTGTGTCGATCCAGCACAACCCATTAATCTATGCTCCTGCTTCTTTCAAAACCCTTCTAGTAAAAAAACACAAATCTTGTCGGGAAATACACCAAAAGGATTCAGACAAAACCAGGGTTTTGTCGAAGCTTCATCGAAACCAATCAAAGTCGCAAACTTTTTTTCTCCGTTCTTCAAGAGAAAGCAAAGATATTTCTTTCGATTTTTCGAATCCTGAGACACACAAATCAGATGTCGGTAGAAAGAAGAAGAAGATCAAGACCGAGTTGAAGATGACGATGAATCGGTGTTGATGATTGTGACATTATTTGTGTGATCTTTTGTTATATATAAAGATTTGATTTTTTTTTTTTTTGGCATAACGAAAATAATAATTTGGGTTTTTCTGGCTTCGCTGTCTTCTCAATTAAAGGCAAAAGGTTTTCCAAATCCAATGCGAACCAATGTTGCAAACACCAATCATATTACGCCACGTCATCATAATTATTCTTTGGATTGAAGAATCTAATGCACTTTAATCTTTAACTAATAATTATCATGGCTTAATTAAGTTAATCTGGTTGAGAAAAAGAATTAGCAATTATCATCATCACTTTTAAAAGTCGCTACCAGATTTGTTTTTGTTGTATTTTAAAAGAAGGAATAGTTAAATTAGTTAACTAATCCATTAGACAATGATGGTGCACAATTAAGTTTCTTCATTCTTTTCTTTTTAAATGTGTTTGTGATAAAATATAATTTAAAACTAAATTAGCACTTATGTAATTAATCAAAAAAAGATAGTATTGTTTTGATTATTTAAACAAATATAGGTTTATGTATGGACAATTGTTTAATTTTGGTAAATAATCTTGAAAAAGAATCACATAAATATTATAACACAAATGTTTTACATATTACCTACCATTTATGTAGTAAGAGTTTATTTTTAAAGAGATTTAAAACCTTTTGCATTCAAGAAAATTAGATCAGAAACTCACTCAACCAACTAACTAGTCAACTTCAAGTCTTCTTCCTTACCAAAAAAGAAAAACTTCAAGTCTTCTTGAGGTTTGAAAAAGTTTTTGGTCATGCTTTAGATCAATTATGCCAAATGGCCCAAATCTAAGGACAAGCCAAAATTTTTAAAGAGCTTATAGATTAGCTAATCAGATTTGACAACACTTCTTGTTGAGTTTGAAAACCAACATTGATGTCACAAAAAGATCTACACAAATGTTTCTTACTTCTGTTAAGACAAGGAACTAAGCTGAACAAATAATTTCACAACACACCTATATCCTTCGTCAAATTTAGCCACAACCGCAGAATCACAATGCTCTTCTTCTACAGGGGAAGCTTCAGATTCCTAAGAACTATATAAATGAAGTTAAACCCGTAAAGGAACAATCTTTCTTCACTTCTTTTGAAGTATGATCATCCCCACAAAGGCTATTCCACGAGTGGCCACGCCTATAAGAAGCAATATCATTATACATAGATTCCATTCGTTAATGTCGTAGCCACTCTTCATAAGCGATCCACATCGCGTAATCATCCACACTCCATAGTACCTGAAATCCAATATATGAATCAAACCGAGCTTTTGAAAGGTAACTTCTGTATGCTTTTGTTTCAACTTGTATTCGTACCTTTGAGCATTTCCTATCACAAAAGCCTCCAAAGCCCACTTTGGATAACTCAAATCAGCTAAGATCCTAATCACTTCACTATTCTTCGGTTGGGTAGCAACAAGTGTTAAAACGACTGGAAGAAGAACAGAAAACTGCAAAATCCCCAAAAGTTTGTTGATTAGATTAAGTAGAGAGCATGACTCTTCTTCAAAAGGAAACTGAAATAAAACTTACCAGTTGTGCTGAGCTCGGTTGGAGAAAGATAGCCAATGCATATGCAATACCAGTCACACAATATACGAGGCAGACCAAAACAATATAGTTATCGAAAAATGTGGATCTCGGATTTGTGAAGAAGTAGAACATAGAGAGGTAGACCAATGGCTTGACAAGTATATTGAAATAGTCTATTGTATCTTTGGCAAGGAAGCATGCCGAGCTACTCATCCCCGAAGCACTTTCTCTCCAGTAATGTAACTTGTCTAGTGAGAATGATCTTAAAGCTGCTATTTTGCAAAGAAGAGCTGACAGAAGAAAGAAAAAGAAAAAGAAAATAAGTTTCATAAGAACATGACAAAACTTCTTAGAATTGATTAAATGCAGTAATGATAGTTTAATGGAGGATTTAGTCCAACTTACAAACTGCAATAATAGTGTAGGTATAACCAGGAGCTCCAAAGCTCTCATCATTTGCTTTAATAAGTGATCCTAAACAAGCTCCAGCAAGCAACAAGATTAAATAGTCTGTGGCTTGTAATTGAGCTTCTCTCATTCGCTGCTTAGCTATCCTGAAATTAAGAACATTATTCCGCTTTATTCCAACATCCAAGAATCAATTAATCGTAAGTAATTCGTGGAGAAGTTAAGAATAGAAAACCTTCCAAGGAAATATTTGTACTGTAGCCACATAGTTGGGGTTCTTCTGTGGGACAAATCTCTAGACTTCAAGAAGTTATGACGTATTTTATCACGACGCAACCTGAAATTACTCTTCACATCTCTCCACAGCTCTCTGACAAATGATTGTTCTGCTTCTGCATTATCATGTGAATTATTACCAATGTCTGGATTTGCTTCAAGTCCAGCACCACTGTTATTTCGCATATCTAATGGAACCGAGTACCCTTTGTGAAGCATCCACCTTTGAGGAAGCTCTTTGTAACCAACACCAGAATTCCCCATTGATATCACAACGCCTTCCAGAACGTCGATGTAATAGTCAGGAGGGTTGATACGATCTGGAACATATATTCCCAACCCCGAGAAGTATTCTTCGACTTTGTTGACTGATCCGTGGTAAACAGTAAGTCCACCTTTAGCAAGAAGTACTAGATCATTGAACGTTTTGAATAAAGTATAACTGCAACAAAGAAACATGAATTAAAAACTCCATGGCACATTTATAAAGATATTTCCTCTACGTGAAACTTGTTTTCAAGATACCTTGGCTGGTGAACAACCATGCATATATTCACTCCCTCGAGGGCCTCATGCCGAAGTGCTCTAAGAAGAAGCTGTGATGAGGCACTATCTAAGCCAGAAGTAGGCTCATCCAAGAATAAAACTGAAGGCTCCATTACCATTTCTAAACCCACATTGACTCGTTTCCTCTGCCCACCTGAGATTCCTCGCTTCTCTACTGTACCAACTAAAGAGTTCCTCACAGCTTGCAGACCCAAAGAGTCAATGATTCTTTCAACCACAAGAACTTTGTCTGCTTTCGATAGACCCGCAGGTAATCTGCATTTAGCATGGAACCAAAGATTTTCTTCTACTGTCAAGTTTCCATGAACAACGTCATCTTGTGGCACAAAACCAATAATTTTTTTATATGAATGGATTGATTCCTGCTTCCCGTTTATAAGAATCAAACCACTCAATTTGCATCCAACAGCTTTCCCAGCCAAAGCTGAAAGAAGACTTGTCTTTCCTGCTCCTGATGGACCCATCACAGCTGTGATCCGACCTGGTTTCATGATTCCTGTGACACATCTCAACACATGCTTACCATTGGACTTCAAGGTAAGAGTTAAATCTTTAAACGAAAGCTCTAAGAGAGGTCTCTTCCTCGTCTCAGTATTAGTAGCCATTGAAACTATTCCTGAAAAGGTAAGATTCTTATTCTCTTGCTCCATGGCTTTCTCCTTCTCAATCCGATCATACGCATACTTGAAGATTTGGCTGCGCGTTTTCTTAGTTTTGGCCAAATTCTGTCTTTTTACTCTCTTTCCTTCTATTTCAAGACTTGCTCTTCCATTACTTACGGCGGCTGCATCATCTTCGATCTCATAACTAGATTGCGCAGCAGAGGAACTCGCAGGACTTGAATATTTTGACATGTCTATATCTTCATCTATCTCAGAAGAGTCCCCAGGACCCAACATCTTGTGGCTATCCCCATCCTGACTGGATTTTTTACCTGAAAATGTCCGACTTATTTGCGCACGGATCTCACTTACATGCTTTTTTGCAGCCTCTCTAGCAGCTTTCCATCTCTGATGAGCTTTCGCTTTCTTTACTGCTGCTTCTCTTGATTTCGCCTGCCTCCTTTCCCTCGTCGTTAGGATTTGATCGGAACAATTGTAGATAATGAGTAGAATAGTACTCACAGCAGCCTGCACAAACAAATTGAACGCCACTCTTTTAGTGGAAAATCTTAGTCTTGGGTATTCAATAATAACTGAAAAAACTTACAATAACCATAACCCCAAATGCATGCATGTTCTGATTTGCTGTGTTGGGATTGCAGGACGTTAACTTAAAGCAGGCTGCAAAAGACAAGACTTACTTAATAGATTAAAAGACTAGCAGATGGAACTAGTAAACATTACTTGGTAATGTAACAACAAGCAATCATGAATATTCGATGACGTACGTTTCTCAGATGTAGACCCCATTCTGCAATAGTGCCTAAATCAACATTAAAGGTATAACCAGTTAAACTATAACCAGTTTGAAACAAAATATGATTCTCAGCTAGATCATTAATTGGATATAGCATAGTAAGTAGTAACACAAGGTTGATGAAATATTTTCAGGATAGAATGGAGTTTGAGGGGACCAAAAAATGAATACCCACTATCGCAAGGTACTTTATGAGTGGTGGTTGGACAATACGATCCTGCGGAACAGAATACTTCACCGCTGGATCTAATGTCGGCCCATACATTCGCACCTCCACAAGTGTGGTTCGGTCGTCCTGGTGGTAATTGATAAGTATACCTATAGATTTGACAGTTTAACATCTTATCTTATCCCCAATAATATCACATTAGTATATTTTGTATCTAAGATGGAATAAAAAAACTTACGGTTCACATAAGCTTGTAGTCTTATTAAGGGTAGCTAAGGGACAATGAGCACCAAGAGGACAAGCTTTTCAAAACAGAACAAAAATTCAGAAACAGTGTTAGTTAAACCATATAGATAACTAAGACGAGAAAAGCTTATAAACCATGAAGGCATTATGAATTGCTTACGTATCATACAGGTGAGGCCACGAGGGCAGAAAAACCCTTCACAGCAAGCCATACAGTTTTCTGTTCTTCCAGGAAACTCTTTGGAGTTTTGCAGGTCAACTTGTTCGTTTGGATCAACACTACAGCCCCATCCAGGTTCACAGCCAGAGGGCCATGAAGTCAAGTTGCAATTCACATTTGGTTGCAAGTTTCCCGGGTTATTCGATTTATTGAAAAATGTATTAAAATAGAACTTCATCTCTGCTGCTGTACAGATACGCCTATTAATATCACCTGTTACAAACCCAAAATGTGAACACATGAAAAAGATATGAAAATTATGTCATCAGATTAACTCCAAGAACCATAAGAAACGTGAGAATTTTGCAACAACAACATTCGATGTTCCTATAAAAACATTACATCGCCGCTCTTCCATCTTGTTTTAACAACCAAGTAATAGTCAGTACCTTTGGTTATCTGAATGCAAGCAGATAAGAAGTCTAAGTTGGTGGAGAAGTTAAACGCTCTGTTCCAATCAGCATCCCTGAGATTGTGATTTCAGCAAAAGAGTAAAATATCTCACAGGACTTACGTAAGCTAAAAGAAATATTTCACCTAAAGCACCTACAGTTAAGCAAGTGAAGCTATCAATGCATGAACTATACTAAGATCAAAGAATTGAAAGTTCCACAGTGATACAAGTCTACAAAATTAGAAATCAAAGCAAAGCAAATAAAGTGCCAGATTGCAGTTTAAGAGAGAGAAGACTGACGGGTCTTTGACGCAAAACTTTGCTCTGGTACCGAGCTCACGATTAAGAGCAGCAGTGCTATTAGAAAGCTTGCGGTAAACCATCTGTGTAACGAGTGGAAGAACAGCTGGATTATCAAACTCACTGGTCTCCCCAATAGTTTGACCATTACCAACATTAACATAACAAACCAACCACAGAAGCAAGATCACCAATCTGAGATTAGATCCAAGTTTGAGCCAACTTCGCCGGTTCACGCTCATCTTGAGATTCAAAAGCCTTAAAGGACACATAACAGAAAGTGAATAAATCAGATGCAAGATAACAACCAACAAATACATAAACAACCTTGCTTGATTTATCAAAAGAGACGGCTTTTCTAATTTTTTTTAAATGAAACGTTTGAGACATTGTGATTTGTGAATGGAGAGGGAAGAAACGTGAAGGAAGTTGGAGAAACGATGGTGCAAATACCAGTGCGACGAACGTGACTGAACAATGTGAAAAACGACCCATCTTAATTTCATTAATCAATTGTTAAGCTTGATTTTGGGGTAACTACATAAAGGTTGAGTCTTTTCTTTTGTCTTATCACATTACATTACAATTAAGCAGAAACGAACTCCAAAACAATCTAATTTTAAGAAATTGAGAACCCAGAAACTTAAAGTTGCTTGCTTTGTCTCCAGATCACATCAAACCCCATCACAAAACATTGCAAGTTTCGATTTTTCTTTCTTAGATTCCAGAAACTTAATCACCCTAAACTCCATAGACTAAAGGAACTAAACCAAGATTCAATGGAAGAGAAAGAAAAGAAACGTACATTGTGACTTGTGAGGCGTTGAAGTTCATGACTTGGGAGCTGGAGAATCCATGAAAATGAATAATGAAGTTGCCAAATTCTCGGGGAAGCTTATTAAAGTAGTAGGGGTCTACAAATCTTGAGATAAGCAGATTAATCTACCATCATTGTTGTCATTGACCACGATAAGAAGGAAGAAGGAAGAAGAAGAGAGTGCGTTGAATGATTCATTAGGACAAGGAAAGAACATGTAGACCTATTTATAATTACAGTTAACTAAATCGATAAAAAGTATCAACCTTTACTGTTGATTAAGGAATATAGATATTTTCTTTCTAAGTAAAAAGATATAAAATATGTTGTAATGTGGCAATATGCCCAAATATATTATTGTTGCATTTAGACTAAGAAAATACAATTTCCGTAATTTTAGTATCAAGATGCAGATTTCTCTTCATATTAAATATAAACAAAAAAAAATTATGTAAAGAAGTCATTTCAAAATTTTAATCCTGACATCTTGTACATAAATTGTAATTGACTATTCTATATAATTTGTAGAATAATAATAGTAATAATTTCATGACTATAAATTATTACACAATAGAGAAAATTTGAATATTCGTCATCTCATCAATCATCATGAAGAATTAAAATTTAGGACACTTGCGGATTCGTCCGTATGTTTACAACCGACTGGTCCCATGGTTTAATGAATTTTGCTGACCCAAAATTTTGAAGACAGGAAAACACTGAAATTTTTATTTTTTTTTTAAATATCAAAAGGATGACTTTGTTCATTTGGAATGCATTTATTATGCTATAGTCTTCTTCTACCGAGGCAGCTTCAGATTCTTGGGAACTATATATATAAGTGCAGGTAAAAGCCGTAAAGGGAGACGATCTTTCTTCACTTCTTTTGAAGTATGATCATCCCCGCAAAGGCAATTCCACGAGTGGCCACACCTATGAGAAGCAATATCATTATACACAAATTCCAGTTGTTTATGTCGTAGCCACTCTCGATAAGCATACCACATCGCGTAATCATCCATACTCCATAGTACCTGAAATCCACTATATGAATCAAAACAGAGCTTCTGAAAGGCAACTTCTTTATACTTCTGTTCCAACGTACCTTTGAGCATTTCCTATTACAAATGCCTCCAAAGCCCACTTTGGATAACTCAAATCAGCCAGGATCCTAATAGCTTCATTATTCTTCTTAGGTTGGGTTGCAACAAGTGTTAAAACGACTGGAATAAGAGCAGAAAACTGCAAAAACAAACAAAATCCCCAAAAGTTTGTCGACTATAATGAATAGAGAGCATGCATGTGATTCTTTCTTCAAAAGGAAACTTAAAAATAAAACTCACCAGTTGGGCTGTGCTTGGTTGGAGAAAGATAGCCAACACGTATGCAATACCAGTCACACAATATACGAGGCAGACCAAAACGATATAGGTATCCAAAAATGTGGATCTCGGATTTGTAAAGAAATAGAACATAGAGAGATAGACCAATGGCTTGACAAATATATTGAAAGAGTCTATTGTATCTTTGGCAAGGAAGCAGGCCAAGCTACTCATCCCCGAGGCACTTTCTCTCCTGTAATGTAACTTGTCTAGTGAGAATGATCTCAAAGCTGCTATTTTGCAAAGAAGAGCTGACAGAAAAAAAAGAAGAAGAAAAAAGCAAACGATAATCAGATTTATAAGAAACTTCTCAGGACTAGATTAATAGAGAATCCAACTTACAGACTGCGATCGTAGTTTGGGTGTAACCAGGGATTCCAAAGCTCTCATCATTTGCTTTATTAAGTAATCCTAAACAAACTCCAGCAAGCAACAATATCATATAGTCTGTGGCTTGTAATGTAGCTTCTCTCATTCGCTGCTTAGCTATCCTGAAATCAAGAACATTGTTCTGCTTTATTCGGACATCCAAGAATCAATTCATCGTAACTAAGTCGTGGAAGAAGCAAACCTTCCAAGGAAATATTTGTATTGTTGCAACATAAGAGGGGTTCTTCTATGGGATAAATCTCTAGACTTCAAGAAGTTATGCCGTATTATAGGATTCGTGTCAATATCTGATGGAACAGAGTAACCTTTGTGACGATTCCACCTTTCAGGAAGCTCTTTGTAACCAACAGAATCCCCCATTGACGTCACAATGCCTTCAAGAACGTCTATGTAATAGTCAGGAGGATTGATACGGTCTGGAACATTTATTCCCAACCCTGAGAAGTATTCTTCGACTTCGTCAACTGATCCATGGTAAACAGTAAGGCCACCTTTCGCGAGAAGTACTAGATCATTGAACGTTTTGAACAAAGTATAACTGCAACAAAGAAACATGAATTAAAAACTTCATGGCAAAGATATTTCCTCTAAACCAAAACTTGTGTTTCAAGATACCTTGGTTGGTGAACAACCATGCAAATATTGACTCCCTCAAGGGCCTCATGCCGAAGTGCCCTAAGGAGAAGCTGTGATGAGGCACTATCTAAGCCAGAAGTAGGCTCATCCAAGAATAAAACTGAAGGCTCCATTACCATTTCTAAACCCACATTGACTCGTTTCTTCTGTCCACCTGAGATTCCTCGCTTCTCTACTGTACCAACTAAAGAGTTCCTCACAGCTTGTAGCCCCAAAGAGTCAATGATTCTTTCAACCACAAGAACTTTTTCTGCTTTCGATAGACCCGCAGGTAATCTGCATTTAGCATGGAACCAAAAATTTTCTTCTACTGTCAAGTTTCCATGAACAACGTCATCTTGTGGCACGAAACCAATAATCTTTTTATACGAATGGATTGAATCCGGTTTCCCGTTTATAAGCATCGAACCACTCAATTTGCATCCAACAGCTTTCCCAGCCAAAGCATTAAGAAGACTTGTCTTGCCTGCTCCTGATGGACCCATCACAGCTGTGATCCGACCAGGTTGCATGGTTCCTGTGACACATCTCAACACATGCTTACCATTGGACTTCAAAGTAAGAGTCAAATCTTTAAAAGAAAGCTCTAAGAGAGGTCTCTTCCTCGTCTCAGTATTAGTAGCCATTGAAACTATTCCTGAGAAGTTCAGATTACTATTCTCTTGCTCCATGGATTTCTCCTTCTCGATCCGATCGTACGCATACTTGTAGATTTGGGTGCGTGTTTTTTTAGTTTTAGGCAAACTCTGTTTTTCTACTCTGTTTCCTTCTATTTCAAGACTTGCTCTTTCATTACTAACGGCGGCTGCATCAACTTCGATATCATAATAACTAGATTGCGCAGAAGAGGCACTCGCAGGACTTGAATGCTTTGACATGTCAGAAGAGTCCCCACGACGCCACATCTTGTCTGTATCCCCATCATGATCGGATCTTTGACCTGGAAATGTACGACCTATTTGCGTACGGATCTCACTTAGATGCGTTTTTGCACCCTCTCTAGCAGATTTCCATCTTTGGTGAGCTTTGGCTTTCTTCACCGCGGCTTCTCTTGATTCCGCCTGCCTCCTCTCCCTTTTCGTTAGGATTTTACCGGAACAACAGTAGATAATGAGTAGAATAGCACTCACTACAACCTGCATGCACATACATATTGTAGATACTGAGTAGAATAGTGGAAACTAAACCTTAGTCTTTGGATAATTCAGTAATAACTAGGAACAAACTTACGATAACCATAATCCCAATTGCCTCCATGTTCTGCTTTTCTGAGTTGCGTTTGCAGGACGTAAACTTAGAGCAGACTGCAGAATTGACAAGACGTACTTAAGAGATGAAGAGACTAGCAGATGGAAATAGTAAACATTACTTGGTTATGTGACAACAAGTGAGCATGAATATTCGATGACTTACGTATCTCAGATGTAGATCCCTTTCTGCAATAGTGCCTAAATCAACATAAAAATACAACCATCAAACTATGAACAAGTTTGAAACAAAATTGGATTCTCGGCTGGATGATTAATTTGATATATATAGCCTGTTCCACACGCTCATTTGGTATTTACATGCAACAAATGTTCCATCGAAATGATATATTGATATAAGAAGTATATTTGGGTTCACCTTTGGGGTGAAGGGTGAACTTTCCCAATTCACCTCCTAATAGTTTAGCTAATGAAAATACACTAATATGCCACGTAATACTATATTTAGAACTAAAATCAGAAAAACAAAAAAAGATTAAAGAAACAAAATGTGTTTTTTTTTATTTAATTAATGTTTAAATATTAGTCTGAGTTTAGATTTTACAATATAATGTACAAGTTTATATATTGGTTTAGGTTAATAAGCATTAGGGTTTGGATTTTACAATTAACGGAATTATATATCATTTTGGGTTTATAAAAAAAAAAATTAGAGTTTAGATTTTACAATTAAAACAAAATTATATATCGGTTTGGTATATAAAGGAGAATTAGAGTTTATATTTTACAATTAAAACAAAAGTATATATTGGTTTGGATTTATAAATGAGTGTTAGTGTTTAAATTTTATAACTAAAACAAAATTCTATATCGGTTTAGGATTATAAATGAGTGGTTATATGAAATTATATATTGGTTTGGTTATAAATCCCACTAAGTTGACACTAAACAAAATATTTGTAAAAGTATCATTTAGAATTTTGTAAACAAATGAATCAATTGGATAATGAGGATAGTTTATCACTTGTTTTCTTGACCGAACCATTTCCATCCAAATGCTTCAACTAGATTCATCCAAATGAGTTTCAATTAAAAAAAAAAAAAAAAAAAGCATGGCCATAACCGAGTAAGAATAAAATTTGTAAGGGATAGAATGGAGTTTGAAAGGACGAAGAAATGAATACCCTTTATCGCAAGCTAATTTTGTATCGGTGGTTGGACAATACGATCCCGCTGGACAGAATACTTCACTACTGGATCCGATATCGGCCCATACATTCGCACCTCCACAAGTGTGGTTTGGTTGTCCTGGTGGTAACTGATAACTATACCTAAAATATTTTGACAGTGTAACAACATCTCTATCTTATCCCAGGCAATAATATCACATTTGTATATTCTGTATCTAAAAGATGGAATAAAGAAACTTACGGTTCACATAAGCTTGTAGTCTGATTAAGGGTAGCTAAGGGACAATGAGCACCAAGGGGACAAGCTTTTCAAAACAGAAACAAAAAATCAGAAACAGTGTTATTTAGACTATAATGATGAGAGAAAAAAGCTCATAAACCATGAACGGCGTTGTGTGAATTGCTTACGTATCATACAAGTAAGGCCACGAGGGCAGAAAAAGCCTTCACAACAAGCCATACAGTTTTCTGTTCTTTGAGGAAACTGTGTGTGATTTTGCAGCTGGTTGACTGGTTCGGTTGGACTAAGAGTACTACAGCCCCATCCAGGTTCACAACCAGAGGGCCATGAAGTCCTGTTGCAATTTACATTTGGCTGCAAGTATTCCGTGTTCTTTATTTTATGAGTTTTGTTTAAAAAAGCATCAAGATAAAACTTCATCTCTGCTGCTCCACAGATACGTCTTTCAATACCACCACCTGTTTCAGACCAAAAATGTAAACACATAAAAGATAAATGTCATCAGATTAACTCCAAGAACCATAAGAAACGTGAGAATTCTGCAAGACTTGGAGTGCCTCCAAAATCATCATATCGTCCCTCTTCCTTATCTTTTTAACAACCAAGTAGCGAATAGTTATCTGTTTCGGTTCGGGCTAAGTAATAGTCAGTACCTTTGGTTTTCTGACAAGAATATAAGAAGCGCAAGTTTGAAGAGAAGTTAAACGCTCTGTTCCAATCAGTATCCCTGAGATTGTGATTTCAACAAAAAGGTTAAATCTCTTTAGTAAATAAATTAAACACACTAAGCTGAAATCTTAATCAGAAAATAAGATATTTGATTGCATTATGATACGACGTCTACAAAATTAGAAACCAAAGCAAAGTCAAATAAAGAACGCCAGATTACAATTTAAGAGAAAGAAGACTGACCGGTCTTTGACGCAAAACTTTGCTTTGTTACCGAGCTCACGAATAAGAGTACTGGTGCTATTATAAAGAACTGATGAATTGTCGAACTTACTGGTGTCCCCAATAGTTTGACCATCACCAACATTAACATAACAACACAACCACAGAACTAAGATCATCAATCTGAGATTAGATCCATGTTTGAGCCAACTTCGCCAGTTTATACCCATCCTGAGATTCGAGAGCCTAAAAGGACACATAATAGAAAGTGAATAAATCAGATTCAAAACAACAACTAACAAAAAAATCTAAAAACACACTTGCTTGATTTGTCAAAAGAGTAGGTTTTATTAATTTCTTTTAAATGGAACGTTTAAAACAGAAATGATTTTGATTTGTGAATGAAGATTGAAGACACGTGAAAGAAGTTGGAGAAACGATGGTGCAAATACTAAAACGATAATATGCTTTGTGGGCAACGAACGTTGACATCAAACCCATCACAAAATATCGCAAGTTTTAATGTTTCTTTACTTAGACTAAAAGAGCTAAAACCAGGATCAATGGAAGAAAAAGAAAACGTACATTGTGACTTGTGAGGCGTTGAAGTTCATGACTTGGGAGCTGAAGAATGCATGAAAAAATAATGAAGTTGCTAAAGTCTTGGGGACATTTATTAAAGTAGGGGTCTACAAAGCTTGAGATTTATCTTCTACAAGAAGACAATATACGAAGACCAAGACGAAGAGGAAGACGAAGACGAAGAAGAGAGTACTGCGTACGTTGAATGATTCTTTAAGACAAGGGAAAAGGAGACATGGATGATGTAGACCTAGTTAACTAAACTCTTAGAAGTGTGATATCTCAAAAATGTTTTTATGCAGAAAAGTCATTTCAAGATTATAAACCCGACTTTTTGTACACAAACTTTATAGTAGACTATTCTGTATGTAACTATAGATAATGATCTGCGTCTTCACGTCACTATATAATAAAAAAAACCAAAATTTAACTTACCCATTTCTTTTTTACAATATAAATTTATTTTCTGTTTTATCATAATAAAAATTTATATGCATCATATCAAACATATTTTAGTTAGTATTAAAAATAATCAAATAAACTAACAAAAGATAATTAGTAATAAATATATAAAATATATACACAAAAAAGTTTGGGAAAATTTATTTAAAAAAAAATCTCATAAGTAATAGATTTCATCATGTCAAACTGTAATTCTATGTGAGTTAAAATTTACAAAATAAAGTACAAATTTATATTTTGATATCTATAAATGAAAGAACTTTTTTTTTTCCTTAATTAAAAAAATAATAAATGTTTTTAATGAGTTATTTTTATTTTGCTAATTACACTTGTCAATATCTAAACGGTAGACTTGATATGTGTCACGATCATATTAATGAAAATTTTAAAACCAAGATTTTTAAGAAGAAAATTTATTTTTGGACATGTGTTTGTTCTTTTTTTTTTGGGGCAAAGACATGTGTTAATATATGATTGAGAGACTTCGCATGTGTCGCGATCTTATAACTTTGCAATCGAGTTTGATATAACAAGGTTCGTCAAAAACTATTTTTTAACTACAAATTTTTTCAGTAGAGATGGTTTGAATATTCATCCTCATGGATACTTGGAAATTTGTCCCGTAATTAAATTAGTATTTGCAGAATAACTGAAACTTTTGCATATATTAAGTAAAATATAGAATTATAATAATGTTTTGAAAATTGCAGTAAACACATGGAAACATATTTTTAAGATTTTTATTAAAATTTTGAACATAAGTTATTGTAAAACATCATAAACTCCTAATCACACAAAAAAATAATAATTTATACTTACGATCTAAATACGGAATATGCCAGATTATGTTGACAATAATCGGATTAGATAATAAATAAATTGATAACAGATATTTTCTAAAGATTAGTCATTAGTAGTGTTAGATAGAGTGGGCTAGCGATTAAACGAAAAGTAATCATGATTGGGCAGAGAGTTTTAGAACAAAGATTTTCTTAAATGTAGGCTAATCGTAGAAAATAACGGTTATACAAAAAAAAAAAGACATAGAAAAGAGATTGTGATTGAATTATGTGACCGAATTGAACCACCAAAGGGTTCAAAATGTTTGCATTCTCACTTCAATATCAGTGATGTGATGAGCAAGACTACAAAAGCTAAGAAAGAAAAAATTAAATAGTTCAACCATCTAAACACATCTTTTGTAAATAACACCCGTCATAGATATCCTGTTGTGATCTCTTTACGTATCAAAATGAGCTGAGCCCGGAACAAAATAGAAAAGCCCAACAAAATTGCACTTTGAGATGATCTAATAATTGGCCCATTCATAAACCCAACCAAATCCAATATAATACCCCCTATCATATGGTAGCTAGTGGCTACAAACTATTCATTTCAATGCTAAAAAGACTAAAAAGACCCTTCGCGCATCTCGAGATCACTCGCTAAACAAAGTCACAACGGCCGGTGTAAATAGCTTCAGCTATAAAGGGTATATTCGGAAATCTCATTTGAATCTCCCAATGCTCAGCTTTGCTTTATATTTTTGCTCACTCTGTCTTCTTTTGTCCTTTTCCGTCATTTCAACATTACTCTCTCTTCCTTCTTCATCTCCTTTCTCTGACCGTTTTCACTCATCATCCAGCTCTCTCTCATATTCTCTCTCTCTCTTCTTCAACCTCTTAGTGAATCTCTCTCTTCTACTTGTTAAATTTCGAAGGAGACATTTTGGTTGGTGTAAAGAAACAGAGAGATCTATTGTTTTTAGGTGAGTGGTTTAATTTATTTTATTTCCGCTCAATCAAGTTATGTTTGTTAAACATTCATGTGGTGTTTCTGGTGAATGATTCGATTTACATTATTGCTTTAGTTTTGTTTTTTCAAAGTTTTAATTTTTATTTTGCAATGGAAGGTTCATGTCGCTGGCCGTGGGCCTAATCCCCCCCCCCCCCCCCATTGTTGTTAGCTAATAACAATAATGTCGAATTTTTTTCGCATTAATTGTTTTTTTTTCTTTTGTTCATTTTCATATATATAGTCGATTCTCTAATAGGGTTTAAGGACTTTCTTCTTTTACAGCAAAAAAAGTTTCAATCTTTTGTTCATCTTGTTGTGTATTGAGTTTGTTCCTTTTCTCATCTCTGTTCTTTGTTCTTTTCTTCTCGTTCTTGAGTTTGATTTGTGGTTTCTGTTTGGGTTTCATTGAGTCTGCAGGGTTTAAGCTCAAGTTTGGTTTGTTGATTCTTCTGTTTCTTTCTTCAGATTTACTCTACAATGAAGTGAGAATTTCAAAAACAAATTAACAAAGAAAAACTTGGGACTTTAGCAAGGTACGACCTTTGACTTTATTAACTTTGTTTGTATGAGACTTTGCTTCTGAAATTGTTAAACTTTTGATTTGAATTTTTTTTTGGACAATCTTAAGAGTTTTAGTGCTTATGTTCACATCTTCAAGTCTCATAATCACCATTTCTAACAGCCTTCTTCTTGTTAAGCTCTCTTAGGGGTATATTTAATTTAAGCCATAGAGCTCTGTTCTAGGGTTTTGTTGAGGAGAAGTTCTGTTTGGCTAGCTGCATAGGGTAGCGTTTAGACCGCTGTTGCTAGTGCGTTCTAGACCCTAAAACCACAATGAGACATTGTGGGTCTTGTGTCTGATTGTACTAAATGTGTTTGGTGGGTTTGTCAGGCATTGAGGTTGTCCTCTTGTTTTCAGATGGTTAAATTATCATTTTTTTACCCATACATTTGGTTTTTAAGGTTTGTACTGTTTTCACATTAGGCTTTTCTTTTCTAATATAAGATTTGTTCTTGTTTCTTTAAATGTTTCTTTTCAGAGATGTGAAAAATAAACAATTTCTACTTAATTATTCTCTGCATAAGTCATGTGTTTTTTGCAGAGATTATATGGGTTCAATTTTTTAAGTATTTGTTTGATTCTGTAGCAGCACATTTTGACTAAATAGCCTCGCAGAAAGAGCAAACATATTCACATAGAAAATAAGAAAGAAATAAAAAAGTAGATTGGTTTCATTCGTATAAACAAGTGGTATACACACAACTTGCTTATTCTTTTATTCCTTCTCTTAGAAAAATAGCATTTTCTAAGCATGAGCCATGCATGAACTCTTCACAACTCTTGATGAATATTTTAAAGAAGTACTGATTGATTATATGCGTCTCTTGTGATATTTATGTATAGATCTCTCTTTTGTGAAACATTCTTTTACTTTGAGCCTTTTTTTTTCCTATAGTTACCTCACTAGTTTCTTTGGTAAAGCAAGTCCTATTTTGAGAATATCACAAAAGATGCTTGGCCCTCCATTAACGGTCCTTGATCCAAGTATTAAAGCTTGCTGCTCTTTTTCTTTATATATCAAAACATTCATCATTACAAGTCTCCTTTCATTTGCTTTTTGATTCCTTTTGTGGTGATTCTTGTATTTTTTGTTACTGTGTTCTTGATACTGTTGTCTCCTTACTAAGCTCTTTTTTGTAATGGATCTACAGATGGAGACTGTCAGACCAATGGTTGTTGCTCCTAAGGGTAAAATCAGACGCAAGTTTGCTAAAGTTCTGAACATTCATAAGCTTACGGGTGTTGCTCCAGAAGAGGAAATGAAGAAGATTAAGTTTGATTCCAAGACTGCTAATTTATCTGAATCTTTCTACAAGCTTGAGGAAGAGTATGAGAGAAGTCTAGCATTGGAAGCTCTTCTCGCGAAGCTTTTTGCAACAGTTTCTTCCATCAAAGCGGCTTATGCACAGTTACAGCATTCTCAGTCTCCCTATGACTCAATCGGGATTCAAAAATCTGACAACTTGGTAGTCGCTGAGCTTAAGACACTGTCTGAGCTGAAACAATGTTTCTTGAAGAAACAAGTGGATCCAAATCCTGAAAGAACTCTGGTTCTGGCGGAGATTCAAGAGCTGAGGAGTTTATTGAAAACGTATGAGATAATGGGGAAGAAGCTGGAGTCTCAGTACAAGCTCAAAGACTCAGAGATCATATTTCTGAGAGAGAAACTCGATGAATCGATGAAACAGAACAAGTTGGTAGAGAAGAGACTTAACCAAAGCGGACAACTATGCAATCCTCTCTACAATCTTCACCTATCGGCTCTAAATCCAACGCATTTCATTACTTATCTGCACCACACAGTCAAATCCACCAGAGGATTCGTGAAGCTAATGATCGAACAAATGAAGATCGCGGGATGGGATATTTCATCGGCTGCTAATTCGATCCAGCCCGGTGTCTTCTACTACAAGCAAGACCACAAGTGTTTCACTTTCGAACACTTTGTCTCCAATGTAATGTTCGAAGCGTTTCATCTACCATACTTCTCAACCTCAAGCGATTCAAGAAGCTACAAGATGAAGAAACAGAGCAAAGCAGAGAGGGAAATGTTCTTTGAAAGGTTTAAAGAACTCAGGTCAATGAAAGCAAAAGATTATCTAACGGCACGACCTAAATCAAGATTCGCTAGGTTTTGTCGAGGAAAGTACTTGCAGGTTATACATCCAAAGATGGAGCAAGCTTTCTTCGGACATTTGCATCTGAGAAACCAAGTCTCAGCTGGTGAGTTCCCAGAGACGAGCTTGTTCTCTGGATTCCTCGAAATGGCGAAAAGGGTTTGGCTTTTGCATTGCTTAGCTTACTCGTTCGAACCTGAAGCTGAGATCTTTCGAGTACCCAAAGGTTGTAGATTCTCTGAAGTGTACATGAAGAGCGTAGCAGAGGAAGCGTTTTTCCCGGCGTCGGAGAGTTCGCCGGAATCCGAGCCGCGTGTAGCGTTCACGGTGGTTCCAGGGTTTAGGATTGGGAAGACTTCGATACAGTGCGAGGTCTATCTCTCGCTTTCGTGATCACCGTCAGATCTAAGTCGGACGGTGAGGATGCATTGGACTGATTTGGTAATTTCGGGAAGTTGCTTTGGTATATCTCGGAATATGGAGAAAAATTGTGGGCCGTTGGATCAGAAGTAGTAGTGATGTGTTTTGATGTTTTCTCTGTCCTCTTGAGTTTTGTCGATATTATTTTAGTTCAGAGAACACAAAAGAGGCATCTTTTTAGCTGTTGTCCATTGAATATTTATCTCTTCTTTTTTCTAATATAATATGTAAATATTTTATGATTTTTTTTATTTAATTAGTAGATTGGAGAATAACAAATTAAGGAGCGTAATGTTGGAAACAGAGAATTTTTTAGGTGTACATAAAAGATTTGGTAAATGATTGAAAATTTGATTAATAGTTTAATAATACTTGGAGATGTTGGTAAGAGTAGTAGTAGTAGTGATTTGAATGTATAAGCATTTGGATACATTTATAAAATGTATTTGCTGGTCTATGAACCATCCAGCACTATGTCTCCCTGTCTTTTGTGTTGGCACATGCACATTTACATTTCTCGTCCACCTTTTTTGTTTTCATAAGAAAACAAATAGTAATAGAAATGCGAAAAGATTATAATTTGATTTATTGAATTGACTACAAAACACGTACGTCAATGTTTTTTTATGTTTGTGGGATACTACCACAAAGGGCGGTGCTATCAAAAAGTTCATCGAAAACATAATGAAATCTATACATAATTTACACGTATTGGTATTTGGTGAGCATTTATTGATATAGATATATAGTTTTGTATTTTTGTTTTTCAATGTTTAGTGATGAGGACAATATATGGCTTATCTGTGCTGAGAGAATCTAACATCTCAATATGACCCCAAAATATTATGGTGGTGGGGTTCGGGATCTATGTAACCAAAAGGACTGATGAAATATACAATCTTTTTTTTCTTTTCTTTTTAAACCTTTTTATTAATGAGCCAACCCTAATGGGCTTAGGCCTGGAAATTACAAAACATCAACAGTTACAAACGGAGAAATTTTTCCGGTAACGGACAGCAGAAATCAAGGTTGAATCTGGGCAGTAAACAGAGGCAGAGAATCAGATCTACTAGTACCGGCGAATACAAGGCCCACAACTTTGTGACTTTGTCGTCGGATCAAGTTCTTCCACTGGAGTATTCGGATCCCGTCTCCGAACCATCACCAATAACAAGTCTGTCCCGCCACAAGCCTCCCGGAATAGATCAATTCTCCGACACTCCGCAACCCATGAATATCGAATCCCCTACCTAGCAAAACGACATACTCAGATCCAAGCCCTTGACATCCAAAGTCGTGAACCAGAAAAATTTCCCGAGGCAAAGCAATCTTCAGATCCGGTCCGGTGGAAGCAAAACACGGAGGCTAGAGAGTGGTGAAGGCTCAGACAACCCCTCAACAACCAGAACCCGTGCAAGCCGTCTAAGATCCTGAAAGGAACTACTGTTAACCACCAAAACACTTACCGGAAAACCCACCAATCCGCAAGCGTCTTCCGCCGCTGTCATAGCATCCAACTTGACGGTTGAGCCGCGAGAGATTCCACTGACATCTCCTATGGCGTCTTCAAACCAGGAGGAAACAGAACCAGGATCTCTCCTCCGCCGAGAAGGGGCCACAACTGCAACGCTTGTCGGAAACCACACCACTCCGATAACGGAGAAGAAAGCATGCCCCACACTGCTTCGTATTATAACCCAGACCTGCGATGAAGATCAGTGCCAAAATAAAAAACTAGATCTGAATCTGGAAAACTTTCTAGAGAGAGAAATGTGAATAGTAGGGGAACGATTGTCCTTCGTGTTTTGTCTTTGTGTTTTGTAAAAAAAATATTGGCTTCGTGTTTTGTCGGAAAAGCTTCTTTTCTATTTCTTTTTCACTTTAACGTTATTTGGTGGTGATTTGAATATGAATAAACTAGTCTGATCATGATCTTCATCATTTTCACAACCTCTAATATTAGTTAATGAATGAGCTGTTTCAAATCTAGCATTAGCTTAGATACTACTCTCTCAGCCATGCATGGATGGGTCTAGGTGACATCTATGGTTGTATTTAGAACATATATGTGAGCACGTACTTTGCCTTTTCCAACAGAGCAGTTTCTTTTCCCAAGAATCTACTATGTGCACAAGATGATTAATATAACTATTCAGAAATGTACTGTTTTATCATATAAAAATATAAGAATTCCTTGCAAATGCAACATTTATATCAAAATAACAAAAATCCAAACAATTTATTAGCTCGGTTTTTTTTAAATAACAAAAATCCAAACAATTTTAAGAGAAACAATATCACTAGCTAGAGTTAGTTGAAGACCAAAATATAAAGCTTTGAACACACTTAGATAAACTTCATATCCTCTACGAAGTCTATACTGGTCTGAACAAAAGTAGAATGATCCATAAACTCTTCAAATCCATGAATACGGACTCTTGTATAAGTCTGCCTCTCAATATTGTAAAAGAAAATGTAGAAAGGTTTTGATAGATAGTACGCGTCCGGCGAAAACACAATCTCTCCGGTACCCGTCATTCCCACAAACTTGTTCTCGTAGACTATGGATGGCAGTATGAATACACGTTTGGACCATACATGTTTCCCACTATCTTCTAGAACCCACAACTTCAAATTCTCTTTACAAACCGATTCGATATATTGATGTGCGCCTAATTTACCTTTGTAATTGAACAAAGTTAAGTTCCGATTATTAGGGTCCATGTCTATATCTAATTTAACAACGCTGAATTTCTCAAACCTAAAGTCGAAGCAAACTATCTCAAAAGATCCACCTGAAAAATAAGCTGTGTAATACAAAACGCCATTTATGCATATTCTACCATACATAGGATAATGGGGAAGTCCTGGGTCTTGGATCGTCTTCCACAAAAGATTCCCAGTCTCCAATGTCAAAATCTGATGAGTGTTGGGTGTTCTAGAACGCGACCTAGTCATACACAACACTTTGTATTGTCTGCTGATCGGATCATAGCCAAAAAAGCAATCTCCATCAACCGTCCCTTTCACACTGGGTAAGGTTATGGACTCACCCGTGACGGGGTTAAAAATCATCCGCACTTTTCTTTGCCAATGTCGTAGGTAGACCAATCCATGGTGCGAGCTACTGAATGGAAGATATTTGGGATAACACTTATAAAGGGTGGCTACAAGAGTAGAGTTTTCATGTGGGTTTTGAGGTTGAGGCGAAGACAAAACGCATAACTCTTTTTTAGCCTTGAAAGTAAACAAGAGCCGTGGACGAGCGAAGGACTTAGTCAGGAAAAGCTCCGTAAAATAAGGACGGTCAAATATGGATTCCCATAATTTGGATACGCAGCTAAACCTAGCTATAGACCTTGCAGAGACTCTGGAGAATATATCGACAAGAACATCAACTGGGATTGGGTTTGAGTATTCTCTTACCGAACTTGAAGATTGTGTTGGGATCAATAGATTATCTGAGAACTGCTGCTTTTTTTGTTTTTTCCTTCGACAGCGCTTATGATTTTTCATGGCAGCTGTTTCAAACCCTATTAAATATCACTGTTACAAAGCGTAGTACGAATTACGAAGATGCAACTGACCTTTATAAATATTCCGATCCTAGATGGGCTCTTTTAGGCCCAGTTACTTAATCTCCTTTTTCTTTTTCTTTTTTTGTCCGTCAATGTCTTCCCGTATCCATCAGCAATACAATATACTATTTAAACCAAAAGATTCGAAGCTTTGATTTGTTTCTTCATTCCGTTCACAAGTTTTGTTTCTTCGGGTTATGTAAGCGTAAGAGAGAGTTTTCAAGTCAGGGCTGATATTTTTCGTATCCCAAATGATTACAAGTAGATAATTTGCCCTTTAATGAGTCACTTCTTTTGTCCAAACACGTCTTACATGACATATAAATCTTTCACAAGACCATAATTGCTTAGTTGAAAAGGATCAGTGGATTGTAAAACTACAACTTAATGTTTTAAAAAAAAAATCAAAGTAAGAACAAACGTCATTTCTATCCAAATCAAAAATTGAATACAAAGTAAAAGCACAAAGAAATTGAACAAAGCTCATAAAACAGAAAAAAAAAAAAAAGTCTCACCTTAAAAAAAAAAAAGGACTTGATGGGGAGACTAAATATGGTGAAAAAACTGGATGGCATGCAGAACTCTGATCCGCAAATGACGCTTAGGCTATAGCCTTCAACGGGGATCACAAGAGTACATTGTATAGGTGATGATGAGGTAGGAGTTGGAAGATTTGTGGTGTGCTGCATCAAGAGATTGTTGGAGACTATATTGCAGATTTGTTTGAACTCTAGCTAGAGTCTTTAAATATACTTACATGGAGAATGAAATATGGTATATAGCTAGCCAGAAACTACTTATTGAATGTACATTGTATTCGTTATATTAGACAGTTACAACTTACAACTTTAAAAGACTGAAATATACAATCTTACAAAAATATTGGCTTCAATGCTTTGTTGGAAAAGCTCCTTTTTCTTTTCTTTCATCATTTTTACAGCGTCTATTAGTTTAATGAATGAGCTGTTTCATATCGGATGGGTCTAGGTCACTAGTTGACATGGTTATATATATCTACCACAAATATTTGAGCTTCTTTCATTTTGTTTTTTTCTTAAAATTTCTGTTGTTATATTAAGATATCGATACCGATTACATTGATATAGTAGAGGTGCCATAGCAACTATGAACTCCGGGATGAACAAACCCGGTACAAAAAATAATACATAATCATAATAATTAGGAAGTAGAAAAAGGAGAAGAATTACGAAACCACAGCTGAAGCAGGCCTTGGAGCTTTGGGATGCTGTTCCTTGCCGAGCAAATGTTACGAATACGCTTATCAAGCTGGAGAGAAAGTCTTTCAACAGGGGTGCGGGTTCCGGTGTACAAACGTGCATTCCTCTCATGCCACAGAGAGTATATCACAGTCTGAGCTGCTAAAAGCTTTAACGTACCCAACTTCACTTCATTAGTAGGGGATTTCAGCCAAAGAAGGAAATTATCCCAAGTTCTGAAACCTGTGAAAGGCAGATGCAACTTTGCAAAGCACCATCGCCACAAGTCATAACTATATGGACATCTCAAGAAAAGATGATGCCTTGTTTCGAAATATATTTCACAAAGATAGCAAGAGTCATCCTCCACAATATATTGAGCTTCTTTCATGAAATATATATGCACGAGTTCGATGATAAATAACTCGACTTCAAAATATGAAAAAACAAAATCTGAGAGGAACGAATTGTCGTGGAAATTGATTCATATGATTTCAAAACCTAATAAATAACTCTTGCAACAAAAAATGTTTGGCCTGAAGAGCTTCGATACACACAACAACACTTAGTTAGCTCCACTACTACTATATATACTTCAAAAGCGATCAAGAGAAGATGTTGATGAATGAGTCGGGATTTCGTAAAATCTATACATAGTTGAAAGGGGTTAACTATACATACACAATGCTCTAAACACAAGAGTTGAAATCTAAAAAAGACTTAATAAGCTCACTGAAAAAAAATTATATATATATATAGTAGGACTATCTTAGTTCTATTTTTTAAGATTAAAAGAATCCAAACAACTTTAAGAGGAAAAAAATCATTAGAGCTAGTTGAAATTCAAAATATAAAGCCTTAAAAACAGTCAATTAGATTAGTTTCATATTCTCTACAAAGTCCAGAATGGTATGAACGGAAGTAAACTCATCCTCAAACTCTTCAAATCCCTTAATAAGGACTCTTTTATAAGCTTGCCTCTCGATATTGTAGAAGAATATGCAGAAAGGGTTTGATTTAACGCACATGAAATGCGAAAACACAACCTCTCCGGTACTAGTCATTCCAACAAACTTTTTATTGTAGAGTGCGGATGGCAGTATGCATATACGTTTGGACCATATATGTTTCTCACCATCTTCTAGAACCCACAACTTCAAATTCTTTTTACAAATCGATTCAATATATTGATGTGCACCTAATTTACCTTTGTAGTTGAACAAAGTTAACTCCTGATTATTAGGGTCCATGTCTCTATCTAACTCAATAAAGCTGAATTTCTCAAGCTTAAAGTCGAAGCAGACTATCATAAAACATTCATCTGAAAAATAAGCTCCGTAGTACAAAACGCCATTTATGCATATTCCACCATACTTATGATCATAGGGACGTACTACGTCTTGGATCGTCCTCCATAAAAGTACTTTTCCAGTTTCCAATGTCAAAATCTGATGAGTGTTGGGTGTTCCAAAACGTGACCAAGTCATACACAACACTTTGAACTGTTTGCTGATAGGATCAAAGCCAAAAAAGTTTTTTCCAACACCCGTCGCTTTCACAGTGGGTAAGGTTATGGACTCCCCCGTGGCGAGGTTACAAATCACCCGCGCTTTTATTTTCCAATCATGTAGGAGGACCAATCCACAGAGTACTTTAGCACTAATATCATGAGTGGATTCATATGATAAATATTTGGGAAAACACTTATAAGGGGTGGCTATAAGAGTAGAGATTTCATGTGGGTTTTGAGGTTGAGGCGAAGAGAAAACGCATAACTCTTTATTAGCTTCGAAGATAAACAAGAGACGTGGACGAGCTAAAGACTTAGTCAGGAAAAGCTCCGTAAAATCATGACTGCAAATTATGGATTCCCACAATTTGGATACGCAACGAAACCTAGCTAGAGACGTTGCAGAGACTCTAGAGAATATATCAATAAGAACATCAACTGGGATTGGGTCTGAGTATTCCCTTACTGAGTTTGAAGATTGTGTGATCGAGAACTGCTGCTCCCGATGATTTTCTTGTATTCTCATGGCAGCTGTTTCAAACCCTATTATCACGTTACAGAGCTTATGACTAAAATTAATGCAACCTGACCTTTTTATAATGCTACGGTCCTAGATTAGGCCCAATTACTTAACCATCCCATTAATCAGCAATACCAAAACAGCTTCGGTTCATATTTAAACCAAAAGTTTTATTCGGTTCATGTCAGGGACAAGGATCGATATTTTCGTATCCCAAATATTACAACTTACAAGTTACAAGTCAGCAATTTGCCAACAACTTAGTACAAACGTAAGAACAAACGTCATTTTAGTCTATCCAAATCGAAATTGAATACAAAACCACAAAGAAACTGAACAAAGCGCACAAAACATGAATAAACTTAACCTGCTACTACTTCCCATTAGTGGCCACAGTTGATAAATTGAACACTGGGAATGTGTTGGACTTTGTAGTAATCTTCCCCACCTATTACCAATCTCTCTGTCCACTCCCTCTTCATTCTTTCTATCTTCAATTCCTTCAAGGAACTTATAAATTTGAGCCCATCCGGGAGGTGTTTCAACTTTTTGCAATTGTCTATAGTCAAAGTACGAAGACATGGCATCGACCCTTCTTCTACTCTCCACTCTACCAGCTCTTTTTTATACGACATTTTGAGAGCAAGTAGCCGAGGAAATCCGCCTTTGGAACACACCATTCTCCTTCCAACAAATGCACCAGATGAAAGATATACCGATTTCAAATGAAGTAGCTTTTCTAGACTTGGCATCGGATCTTCCTCCATGCGGCATCCGATTAGCCATATGTGTGCAAGAAGGGGAGGGAATCGGTATTGATCCGGAAACCTTGGCATATGCATGGACAAGGTTAAATCCTTTAGATGAACAAAATCTAGAACGAGTTCTCTCCCATTGTCAGCCACACTGATTTTTTGGAAATCATAAAAACTAAGCGTTTCGAGATTTCTCAATTCACCGAGAGATGACAATAGAGTTTCAAAGGTACACCCGCCACTGAAAATCACACTGAGAACCATGAGCTTTTTCAAACGGAGTAGGTCCATCACGCTACTGTGTATTGTAGAGAAATTCGTCAAGGACTCCAAGTTCACTAGATCACCCAATTCCAACTTGGTTCTATTAGGCATTGAACGAGGCAAGCAAAGGTACCTCAGTTCTCGCATCTCTTTCAAAACATTTGGCACATGAACTTGTAACCGATCAACAACACCTAAGTTCAAACAGAGCAGAAGCTTTAGATTCCGTAGAGAAGAAGGTAGATGAGATACGCCAGCCTCATATAAACTCAAAAATCTCAAGTGAATGAGCTCTCCAATGCTTGATGGTAACTTCCCTCCTTCAAACTGTACGTAAGAAAGATCCAACACTCTAAGCAATGGTAAACATTGAAAACCTGAAGGGTTCCAAAAGCTTTTGTCACCTCCAAAAATCAAAACAGATCTAGCCTTTTTATTGCATTTATGTCCTAGCATAGTAAGTGCATTACCACTATGTAGCACAAGTCTGCGAGAGCTACACGGAGATTGAGCACTGGTGGTAGTAACGGTAGCTGCAGGGACTTTGACAACTTGAAGAAAGTTCTCTTCTTTGGCTTTAGATAAACATACTTCTCTCATCATGTCATGCATTTGACAATACTCTATTCTGGAACTCAAATGGCTTTCCTCAGAAACAACCATATTTCTCCTCACTAGCTCATCTAGGTAGCTCTCTCCACTATCTTGAATGTTTGATCCATCGTAACAGGACATTATTATTCCTTCTGCAACCCAGTAGTTGAACAATGTCCTATTGATCCTGTAATCTTCAGGAAAATGGGCCAAGTAAAGGAAGCAATGCTTTAACTGCATAGGCAAATCACTGAAACCAGATTTTCCTACAATCTGAGTTCCAATGTTGCTATACACTCTTTTCCATTCGAGGACTGTATGTTTCTTAGCAAGCAACCCTCCTAGCACTTTAATGGCTAACGGTAGTCCTCCGCAATATGTGACCATTTCTTTTCCCATGGCTTCATCAACCCTGAATCCTGAAAATTAAGAGAATATAATATATACTACACTTCTCAGTCTAAAAGGATTCATAAGAGAATTCACAAAGATTTTTGGTCCTAGTTTTATATATGAAAGTGTACCAGTTTCGTCTCTCCTAGGGAATACAATTCTCTCAACTAGCTTCCAACTTTCTTCCGAAGTAAGGATTCTTGGTCTAAAGGCAAAACATGTTGGATCCGCATGTAAACCAATACCTTCATTGCGGGAAGTAAGTAACATCTTCCAACCTGCAAAATATAGCGAATAAAAGGCATCTATGACCAATGTGTTACCAACCTTATTGGTGCTTTATGTATGTACAATGAGAGCTCACCTCTTTTATGGGGAAACACAGCTTTTATTCGGTCCCAGTCTTCTTCTTTCCATATATCATCGAGGACAAGCAGATATCTACCGGTTTCCAACAATTCAAAGAGTTCACCTTGGAGTGTCGATTCATCCATCCGTATAATGTCTTCATCATATGGTCTAAGACCTTGCAAGATCCTCTGCCAAACATCCCTCCGCGTAAACTGTTGAGAAATACACACCCATGAGAATCCATCAAAATGGCGTCGGACAATGTCATGATGAAACACTTGTCTAGCTAGTGTGGTTTTACCAATACCGCCCATACCAGAAACAGAAACCACTTGAATGTTATCATTCTCCACCAAATGATCAACCAATTCTTCAACACTCTGATCCAACCCCACAAGATCACTTTCGGAGTTGTTAGAAAATGTCTGCCGGATCTCCCTTTGTCTTTCTTGCAGAGACGATGAACGGCCACCACCATTGATAATATGTTGTATCCCTAAACTCTGCATTCCCACAATCACCTCAGAGATCCTCTTAGTTATACCTTCGATATCAGAAGCAAATTTCCGGCGATCTACTAAAAAACAAGCAAGTCTTCTCGCATGCTTCTTGATCCCTTTATCTTTTCCTCGAAGTTCTTCAAGAAGAAAGGATTCGATTATATCATCAGCATCAAAAACAATGTCCTTGACATCTTCCAAGAAGTTTTTCACCCTTTCACTTTCATTTTTCTTATCGTGTGCATCTTTCAACAACGACTGTAACCTTCCCAGCTGACGCTTTAGTCCATCAACTTGCTCATCTATACCATTCAATCGCGCAGATTCTCGAGTCAGAAGCTCCCAAAGCTTCTCAACTCCAAATGATACAACTGCCTCAGCCATACTACAACAAAGTACAAAAGACAGATCAAAGCAAGACAAGCAGAAAGAAAATATATATATACAGTATATGTGATACTAATACAATAACGAAGATTGACCACCGGTTGCGCCTTCTTTGAAAGACGAGAGACCAATTTTTCAATGTCAAAGTCAACCTTATCCAGCTACCAATCCATTGGCTGAGGGTAGTCCACTGTACTCAGTTATGAAAAATGATTCTGCCACCTGTGATTTGTCATTCAAATCAAGTAGAAGATATTTTATTAAAACTTATTCTTTAACTCAGCATCAGGACAGTAAAGCTCCTTTGAGGTCCCCATAACTTCCTCGAATCAGTACATGTAAAAGCATCAATTATAAAGACTTTGCTGATCTAACTATCACTGTCGGTTAATTGAATTCCCATAGTGGAGCTAATGAGTAATTCATTTACCTTAAATCAAAACCACATGGAGCTAATTTGCCATTCTGGCTTGTGGAGTCTAGTGGAACTTTCAACTTGGTGTTGTTCCCATGTGCCCTGCAGGCTGCAAGCAATATGATAATCACAATTCACAACTTATCAACTAAGTTATCCTTCAAATGCCATCTAAGCCGAATAAATGTTAATTTGGTTTCAATTAGTTATACTTCTTAGAAATCGAAAAATTTAAACCTGAATCCAAATGAATTGGAAAGGCGGAAAAAACAAACTGACACAAAGATTACTTTGAAAATTAAAGATCCATTGGAATCAAAACTTAAACAAAAATCATATAAACCGATTCAAAGTCAATCTGAGTTTACATGGTTCCTGTTACCAAATTGGCAATACCGTAAACCACACTGGTTTAAATAAGCATTCCATAAAAAGCTAAATGGTTAATCCATACAACATCTCTAGCTTAATGTATTGAAAGAGTTTCTATTCACCTTCCATTGCTCGAACTCAATGGAGCTTAACAAGAAGGAGCTTGCGTTCTTATGACCACCACCTCCAAATCTCTGAGAAACCGGTGTTGTGTCTTCTTCTGCAACACTCCTCAAACTAATTTTCAGTTTGTTCTCATCCTCAAGCTCAGGAACTCTGTAAACAACAGCTCCAATACCTCGAAATTTCAGATTTTTACTCTTCTCTGCCAGTTGATTCCCTAATTCGCTTCTGAGCTCTGCAATCTCATCTGCATTTACAGCTAAACACCGTCCAAACCCTTCGTCACCTCCAAGAACAATCTCATACGACTGTTCCAACGCCTCGTGAATCAGTTTATGTTTCTTAGACAAACTCTGTTTCCCTCTGTTGATCACAGTTTCATGGTCCAATGAGAGTAGCTGCTGAAACAACGATTGGTTCAGATTGAAGTCGTACTCGATCTTCAAGTCCAAGATTCCACTGTTGAATGCTTTGCTCTCTGGTAATTCCCACTTCCATATATCAGCGTCTTCAATATACTCGAAAACACGTCTCATTCTCTTGAAATCATTCATCTCCTTGCAACTTCCTCTGCATTCTTCAATCAGCTTCTGAGTAAAATAGTCGAACGCAATGGTGGCACCACTTCTCCCTATATCCAAAACACTAGTAACGTTCTTGCAAGTGGAAGAGACATCACCTAAGCTCTCAATAGCGGTTTTATGGTGATCGAGGATCACGACATTGTCTACTTCAGGAGAGAGCTGGTGAACGAAGCCAGGAGGTCCAGTGAAATCAAGAAGATAGCAATGGCTGATTTCTTGAAGTGGAAGTTGGCTGATTGTGATTGGAGAGTAGACTGTGTTGGGGAAGAACAGTGAAGGGATCGAATTTGCTGAGAAGTAGAGATGAGCGGCTAAAGCGGCGAAAACACCGTCATGGCAAGGATAATGGTAAAGTACAGCCATCTTCTTCTGCACCATCTTCACTCCAAGGTTCATTTTCTGAAAACCAAATTTTATGTTGTGAGAAGGAAAAAAAATCAAAACTTTAATACACAGAGCTGATTCCAAGATGAGTTAAAATACAAGAGCCTGAAGATAAAATGATAAAGGCTCTCACCAAAACTTAAGAATCGGAATTGCCGAAGAAAAAACCAAAATTTAGACCTTTGAAACTAAAAAGAAGAACAACAACTTGGTCGAAGCAAATTTAGGGCTCTTGGAGGTGTAAATGACGAAATTATCCTTAATTACATTGTTTGTTTTATCATAAGTTTAAATACATTTTTTGGGTTATAAACTTTATCACAAGTTTAGTCACAGTTGGTTATTATGCAATAATGTAGTTCCATCCTTCTTATACAACTTACAAGGTTAGACTCAATGTGTGTATTAGCTGACCTTTTCTCAAAGTAAAAATAGTAACCAAAATTACATTGGTATAGTGAACCAAAAAAAGAAAACCAATGTTATTTTGGAGGAGATTGTGGTGGAAAGAACATAGTGTAACCCAAATTATCATTACATGTCTCTGGTGCCATGAAATTTTTGTTATGGTCGGAATGTTAAAACAGGATACACACCTTTTAATACTTACAAAGGAAGGTTTGCCAAAGATACTTTCAAAATCCTCAAGACCGTTATATAGCCACAATGTCTACAAATCTAAATCGTCTATCTATACTTTATGATTTATGTATAAAAGGTCTATTTGTATACTTCGCAAGTGTTTTGATAGTTATTCACTCAAGCCAGCCTTCGCATGCTGGAGGTAACAGCAGTTATTAACTTTTTCTGCAACCATTATCACCACCTTTGCCGACACCGCTATTACCACTGCCGCCTCCACCATCACAGTCGTCACAGCTACCCTCCACACAAAAAAAAATTATTATTACAAACGACACAGGGAAAACAGTACAGGCTATGAAGTTAGTTATCTATGTATCCATGATCTCTCTCCTCCAATAAAGTATAAATCTCCAAAACCACGTTTTCCTTCTTAACCAATTGGTAAAATTATGTTATTTTTTCAATCAACTCCAAGAAGGGAAGTCATACCTCAATGCTTGGTTCAGTGAATGGAATAAATCCTCTGCACCACCACTTTGCAGGCTACCGAGAAGAGGTAAGAGCTTTAATTAGGAGCACTAAGCACATTCTTCCGTTATCTAAATTGAAGTGAGCCCATGTGGTAACTATTCACCTGTATTACCAGAGAGCTTTGCAATTCTATCGTCTATTTTTTCCTTGTCCTGTATTACTAAACCAAGACAGCAACATTAAATTGCACGACAAGTGACCTAGCATTACGGCATTGCTGATAAAGGACCAACTTCCTTTACTCTGTTCAACAAGAAATCAATAGAATCTGATATAACAGGTTCTTTGCACATTGTAGGTATTACAACTGACCACACATCTGCATCATCAGCATTTCCTTTATGCAAGCTACTGATAACTTTACTCAGAATCTCCAACTTTCCACTCTCACATAGCTGCTGCAGATACCTTTCTAGCCTATCCCTGCGAGGCTTGTAGCCTTTAAATAGCATTTCGTCTAAGACAACCGCTGCTTCTTCGAATTGTAAAGCTTCGCACAGCCCATCGAAAACTATTCTATAAGATAAGGTATCAGGACTGCAACCTCTTCTGGGCATATCTTCAAACAAGTAAGTTGCCTCTTCCCATTTTTGGATTCTAAACAAGACACCAAGTATCATATTGTAGCTTATAACATCTGGTTTCAAGCCTTTTTCTACCATATCATCCAAAACTCGATAAGCTGATTCGGAATCATTCTCAACACAGAACCCGTGAATCAGTACATTGTAAGTCACTGTGTCGGGTTTGCATCCTTTTTCACTCATTTCTTCCAATATACTCGACACCTCATTCGACCTTCCAGCTTTTATAACTGAGCTAATCAACGTAGAGTAAATAGCTGAGTCTACTTTGATCTTTCCTTCATACGCCTCATCCTTAAGCTGAAACGCAAAACTCAATTCACCAATTTGACAAAGCGCTTTGATCACCGACGCATAAATGTGAACCGTGGGACATACTCCATACACTTTCAACATATCTTGCTTCATCTTCAATGCTTCCTTCACCCTCGAATTCTTGCACAACCCGTGAATCAGCGTCCCAAAGGTTACACCAGTGGGCTTGACCTTTTTCTTGACCATTTCATCGAATAGCTTCAAGGCATCATCAAAACACCCGCTCTGAGAACATCCATGGATCAGTATATTATAAGTACAAGCGTCTGGCTTACCAAACTCATCAATACCAGAAAGAAGCTCCCTCATTTTGTCGAACTCTCCACACTTCGAAAGCACATTCAACAGAGAGTTCACGGATTTCATAGTACGTTTGCAACGGTATTGAGGCATTTCGTCGAACATGTGGAGCGCACGACTGGGTAATCTCCCACGGCCGAAAAAATTGATCACGTTGCAAAAAAGAATCTCCGTTGGAACGACCCGAGTATCGGTTTTGAGCTGTAGAAGCACCTGATCTAGCTCGTCAAACATCTTAGAGCCACCAAGTTTCGTGATGATGAGATCGTAGCAAAGAATAGAGTATCTAAAGGGTCTTTTTGGGTTCGTTGATTCAGGATCAGGGTTTCGGAAAAGCTTAACGGCGGCGGAAGGATCATTCTCGCGGCGGAGGAGAGAGGCGAGCCTGAATGAAGAGACAGATTTCACGGCGGACATGGGTTTAGTCAAAGTCTCTCAAGTGATACAGATTTCACAGTGAATAACATGGTGTATCCGGTTTAGTCAGCGTATCCGGTTTAGTGTACTTGTAGACTGTCAGAGAGAGAGACGTGTGTCCTAATTAAAAGATCTGTCACATATTTATACATCACAGCTGTGTCATTTTAACCAAAAATATCACTCCTTCCGTCTTCTAGATTTCGCACGTTCGAATTATTTAGTTTTTCTCTCCAGACTTCCCAAAAAAACACATCTCATCCTTTCTCTCTCCTCTTTCTCTCTCTCTCTATTTCCAGATCGAAAACTTCTCTCTCTCCTTCTTCGCAAATGCCTTTGTCACGGTCCCTCCTTTCGCGGAGAATCTCGAACTCGTTCAGGGATCGTCAGGGAGAGACGGCACCGGAACCTGATTCGATCCCGCCGCCGTCGGACATGGCTGGGTCGTCGTGGTCGGCGATGCTCCCTGAGTTGCTGGGCGAGATCATTCGCCGCGTGGAGGAGACTGAGGACCGTTGGCCTCAACGTCGTGATGTAGTCACTTGCGCCTGCGTTTCGAAGAAATGGAGAGAAATCACTCTGGATTTTGCTAGATCGCCTCTTAACTCCGGCAAAATCACTTTCCCTTCTTGCCTTAAATTGGTAAGGGTTTCTTTTTTTTTGTGTGTGATTACCATTTTCTTGGTGACACCTTTTGATTTCTACGAATTGGGTTTTCGTATTCTCTGATTTTAGAAATCGATTTTGATGTAATTAAAAGCTCTACTTGTGAAACTATTACTCCCTGTTGTTTTGTTCTCTTTAATGGTGTTTTTGTTCGTTTGCTCTAGCTCTTAATATGCCTTGATAGATGCTTTTTTGATTATGTTTACATTTGAGTCTTTAATTTGTGGGTTTGCTTTTCTTAAGAGAGCAATTTTGGAAAAATGGCATGAGATTTGAGATTTTATAGTTTCTTGTGAGATGCAGCCAGGTCCTCGAGACTTTTCGAATCAGTGCTTGATAAAGAGGAACAAGAAGACATCAACTTTTTACTTGTATCTTGCTCTAACTCCATGTAAGTAATTTCCCAAAGAAAAAAAAAATATTACTTTTCCTTAGTATGATTCTTATTGTTGAAACCGGTTGATTCAGTCAATATTGGAAAACTATATGTGGCATGAAAAGTCTAGGTATGTTTTAAGTGTGAAAACGATTGGAATTAGTGACTTCTTAGGCGGACAATGTAAGTTGTCTCAGTCATTCGCCACATATGGAATGCCTTGAGTGGTCATTTAAAAGAACTTACCAACCAATTGCCATAAATAAAGTGTTGACTTTCTTGTTGACCTGGCTGATGATGAAGAATAGTCCGAGGTTCAGTCTTATATAGGAGTTGACCTGAGATGCAATTTGCAAGGCTTCACTGAATAATATTTTGAGTTATATTTTTAGTTAAGAGCAGATTGCTTTTTGTTGTTTTGGAACAAGTTCAAGTAATTTTTTATTATACTTCATTAAATTATCCGTCAAGATTCTTTCTTGGCTTCAAAATGTTGGTTATAATTGGGCTAGATTATCTTTCCATCTTTGCTCTTGTCTAGCAAAAGGGTCTTTCTCTGCATTTATTAATTTTCTTTAGTATTCTCTGTTTACCAGCATTCACTGATAAAGGAAAGTTTCTTCTGGCGGCACGAAGGTTCAGGACTGGTGCTTACACTGAGTACATCGTTTCACTCGACGCTGATGATTTCTCTCAGGGAAGTAATGCCTACGTTGGAAAATTAAGGTATCATCAATCAACCTGAATATCCTTGGCAGTCATTTAATCTATAAAGCAAGATCAACTTTTCTGAAGTTCAGAATTTGTTTTTGCCACCCGTGGAACTGAAATCTTGTGTCTCTTAAACCAAAATTGACTTCTCAGAAGTTTCAAATTTTGTTTTTCCACCCTTGGAACTGAAATCTTGAGTCTCTTTAAGGAGTTTGGTGTTTTTTATGCTTCGAATATGATGAGTGGCCTGAAATTTAAGGTACATTCTTTTTTTGGGAAACTTCTGCAGATCAGATTTTCTTGGGACAAACTTTACAGTATACGATAGCCAACCGCCACATAACGGAGCGAAGCCTTCAAACGGTAAAGCCAGTCGCAGATTTGCATCGAAGCAGATAAGCCCTCAAGTTCCAGCAGGCAACTTTGAGGTCGGTCATGTTTCTTATAAATTCAACCTCTTGAAATCAAGAGGTCCAAGAAGAATGGTAAGCACACTCCGATGCCCATCCTCATCGTTGTCATCATCATCATCATCGGCTGGACTCTGTTTGGACCAAAAGCCATGTGATGTAACCAAAATAATGAAAAAACACAACAAGGATGGTTCCAGCTTCACAATACTAAAGAACAAAGCTCCGCGATGGCACGAGCACTTGCAATGCTGGTGTCTAAACTTCCATGGACGAGTAACCGTTGCGTCAGTGAAGAACTTCCAGCTGGTTGCGACAGTGGACCAAAGTCAACCGAGCGGTAAAGGAGATGAAGAAACAGTTCTTCTACAGTTTGGTAAAGTGGGAGATGACACTTTCACTATGGATTATAGACAGCCTCTCTCTGCATTTCAGGCTTTTGCTATCTGTCTCACAAGTTTCGGCACTAAACTTGCCTGCGAGTGAGTGATAAAACCCAGCAAAAGGCAACACACGTAAAAAAAAAAAGTATTTAAAAAAAAAAGCGAAGGTCTCTGCAGAATGTTGTAATGTTTTTGTTGTAATCATGTTGTAAGTGTAAACGCAAGGTATGTGGAAGGAGAAGCACATAAATTATTACTTATGTAATAAACAAAACTGTAATTTGTAAACCCAAAATCAAAAGTGTATCTCTTAAATATTAATGTGCTTTTTGTTATCATTATCGCAGTTGTTTTCTCTGTTCAAAGCTACAACTAACAACGAACGAATAATGCTTCTATAGAACAAAGTGTCCTTTGTTTTCTCGTACTCTTTTTTTTCTTGATAATTCCTTTGTAGTTAAGAGTAGTTTTCTAATTAATGTTCGGTTGAAAAGAAAAATAAGAATTGGAACTTCTTGACGTAGACATGTTTTGTTTGGAATTTGAGCATGTTCGATCGTCTCGTGGTTGACTAAGTTGATCTAGTTTTTGCGTCAACTCTATGTGGCAGTATCTACTTAATCTATGCAACTTGGCTAAAGAGTGTTTCATTTCCAGTAAGTTTGGGAATCGACATTCTTGTCACTTGTGATATGACAATTAGGCTCATTTTGGTCAACTAATTGAGTTCATACAAGTATCAGGACCTCGGCATGCAAGTAGCTCTTTTCCAAGAAACAACAAAAGCAAAGGACTATTTCAAGCAATAATAATGTTCTTTTTCTTGGTTTTTTGTTGTTGTTAAGAATACTGATTTTTATGAATAAAAATTGCAATAGTTATATTATCTAATTTTATACACACGTTTTTCATAAATAATTATCATAATGTTACAACAAATATAAATTTTTCCTTTTATAGTTTGATAAAAAAAATCTTACTATTATTATCTAATGATGAATTTATAAAACGATTTGTTTTTATCTAAAATAAAAAATATTCAACGGATGCAGGTTTCAACACTATTGTCACTTTGATGCAAAAACACTAACATAAATTGGGAAGAGAGTTCCAAAGCTGGATGTCTTAATTAAGTTTGCAGAGTGCAAAGGGTTTCTTGGGTGAAAAGGGATTGTTTTGTTCCTTCTGATATCTTAGCTAACAATTAATCATTTATTTTTCATTCATGGGTTCCTCTTGTATTATCAAATGCGGATCATAGCGACTTTACAAGCAATCTAATATAATAGTACGTATGAAGGAGAAAAAAAAGAAACACTAACATAAAATAAGTCATGGACTATATAATTAAATCGAAGTCATTATTATTTAATCTCATAGAATCATATGATCATATATAGTTTCTATGTAGATTTCCACAAATACAGGTGATCGTCTTATTATTCATTGGTCATAGTTTTAATTTATACATTGCTCATATATATACATCATCTCTAACTGCATGCAGTCTTGAGGGATTCCTCCGATAGGATCAAAGTTTCTACACTTGAACATATCAATGGAATTGACTCCAACAAATAAGACAACAGTTACGAGGATCGTCAAGACCAAACATACTGCAAATCCTTTCGATGTAGCCATCTCATATATTTACTTTTTTATATCTTTATAATTTTATATATTTTCTTTTCGGTTATATGTTCGTTTGTTTACAAACTGGATCCCTCCTTCCTTATAGTAACTAAGCTTACTATTAATGGTATGGAACACAGTACTTTCTTATGCGTTGGTCTTAATTAAGGATAGATTAGTAATAAGGGTTGCTCTTTGTTTTTCCAAATTTACCGTTTGGAATTCATTTTTTAAACTAGGCTCTTATTTTCACAGCTGACCATCACAACTTTTATTTTAACTCCATCGCCACATTGTTATGATAATCAATCACGTGAAGGCTCATTAGAAAAGAATGAAGGATATCTAGAGAAAAGAAAAGCTTAAAATCCAAGATATACAATAGTCTTAGAAAAGATTTAATGTGCTCAAAAGCTTTAAAAAACGTACGGCATTAATCACGATACTCTCCCAAGCTATAGTAAACTCAAGTACTCAACTATACATCTTTTAGTTGAGTCGGAAGTATGTCATAAGGCACCACGAGTCACGACTCACGACGTACCATGCAAATAATATTGCTTCCGTGAAGAAGCATCCCACTACCACTTCATCAAAGTGTCTTAAAGGGTGCCGTCAAACTAACAATAAGTACAAAAAAAAGTTTTCACACTTTGTCCTTTCTCCCCAAAACTCAAATTCTTCTTCTTCCTGATAATGGACTTTAATTATCATCTTATACGTCAACCAAATTATCAGCTAACCATTATCATCCCTATTCCCTTATAGTCAGTTTTTATCATTATAATTCAGCATTATTCTTACAAAAAATAAAGTATCAAGCATTAATTATAGTTTCTATAATACTAAAAGTAAACTATCTTGATAAGCTTGCTAAAGAGTGTACGTAAGCCGTGTTTATAATTCCCATTTCAGAAAATGTAAATTCAAACACGCAAACAAAATGTGCTATATAGATTCATTGTATATATACATGCATGCATGATGCGTTTCCAACTGTAATCGAAGCTTCTTATTCATATATATTTGATAGAATTAAGGCTTTAATTTGGATGCATGGCAGCAGTTTCTTAATTATTGGTTTTTAGTTTTTGGACTTTTTTTTTATTGTTTTTTAGTATTTGGTTTTGGTTTTCTTTCTGTGAATAAAATTAGTTTTTATCATGTTCCGAAGACATCAATATCTTAAAAAGATAAGTATATTCCAAAGGAATTTTATGTGATGGTGAAAACCAAACAAAATATATGTAAGTATCCGCATAAATGAATAAATTATGCAATAGATTAAAGAAAAGTGAATACCTAATTAATATTCGAGCAAATTAGACTATCTTATCACTCATGCCGGTTCGAGTGTTGACTTAATTAGGTGGATAGAGAGACATACCAAATTATTCGAATATTCCAATAGCACATAGGAAGAAAGATCCAAATTTCTTTGAATAATTGAAGTCGACCGGCACAAAATATATATACATATATTCATAATGTGACGCCACAAGCCATGTACGACTTTGTCACTTAGCATAATAAGCAAACAATAATTAGACTAATTAAGAGTAATTAGAATACTATAATGAACATGGCATGATCTAGCTAGTGATCGCATCACAGACATAAAGCTTTTTTACTTAAAAACTTTTTCGTCGTTCACAAGAGTATTATTATCATTCATCTTTTTATTTGGTCAAATCATTACATGACACGAATGTATGAAGGTTATAGCTTTCATGACACCAAAAAAAAAAAAATCATCTACTATGTTAATAATAAAATCAGCTATGTGAAATAAAGTAATGGGATTACGGATTTAAGTTTTATATTCAATCGCTATCTTCGATTTTTAAGAAAGCCAGTAATGTTAACAAATTGAAAGTAAATAGATTGGTCGGTTAAATACTTAAATCCACAAAAAGAAAAAAGAAAGAAAGAAATTGTCAACTTGATCACAAAAAGTGCCAATTAGGTTCAAAGTTCAGAGATTTCATCAATCTCTGTGCATGACACATGCGCTTCTCTACACTCACTCGCGTGAATTTGAGATAGAACAATTCCTTTTCTTTTCTCTATCTTTTTGATAATTTTAGAAAAAGTATATTGTATAGAATACTAATCCTGAATCATGATCCGCATTGGAAAATGGAAACTAAACCAACATAAATAATCTCATCGGTAATTTGCAACACTTTAAAAATGCAATTTTACGTAAATATTATTTTTGTTAACTACGAGTATAAAATTTTACTCTCTCCATTTTAGAATAGATGATTTTTTAAGCAAAATGTACATAAATTAAAAGTCTAAATGATTACGGCTGTAGATTTTTTTAATTGTAAATTCATTTCTTGTAGCTGTAGATTTTATTGTTATAGTGTTTTGGCTATAAAAACTCAAATTTTGAAAAGCTGAAAAATATGTGTTTTAAGAAAATATGCTTTGTACCGCCAAAAATATTATGAAAATATTATGGTTGTGAATCAAAAAAGTAAATCAAAATTTTCTAAACGATTAAAAATTTTGATTGCTTTAGATTTAGTGTTGTACACCAAAATTTGATTGTGGAAAGATTCTAAAGACACAACCAATTAAAGCCTAACAAATCACTGAATTTTTGCTTACTTTTAAATAAAAACATCATTTAATGCTTATATAAGTATAATTCAACCAATAAAATTTAATTTGTATAATATAAATTGTTAAAACTAATAAAATTCTAATTAACTTTGTATAGATTTGTGAAAAAACCATTTAGTTTGGAAAAATATTAAGGTTAAAAAATTATATATCGTAGAACAGAGAGAGTATAAAACAAATACGAATGTGGTAATTTCCAAAATGTGATTAGGTGAAGTCTCATATTTTTTTATCACTTATTCATTAGAATTGAATATTCTATTTTTAGAAACTATTTCAATGAATTTAAGAAAAAGAATACGAATTAAAAATTCAACTATAAGACGAACATCAAATAAAAAGATAGGAAACCATATACAATATTAATGTTTTCGACTAGAATACAATATTATATTTTTGTATATAAATAAATAAAAAGTAAAAACTACTTCAAAGTTCAAACTGCATAAACAAATATATTAAAAATAAGGAAAAAGAATATAGAAAAAGGTTAAAAAAAAAAAAATCAAGTAGAAGCGAGGAGCATCACATAGAAATAAAATAATGGATAGGAATCATCATGATCACTCTCTCTATATAAACGTAAGCAGAGTATCTCGTTTTGCATATATCTCTGAAATCTGAATCTGACTGACTGACTTCACAAAGGGCACTCCTTTTTTTCTGCTCTAAACTGGTTAGCTTCTCAACACTCTCTCACACTTGTTAGATTCCCTCCGCACAATCTGCAACTTTTTCTCATCTGGGTCTGTCTCTATTGACTCTAAAGTTTCGATTTTTATTTGTTTGTCTCCGATTTCATTGGCGTAATCTCTCAGTCAAATTTTGTCTACAGATCGACCTTTTGACTTTTGATTTGATTTTTTCTTCCTTTTGTTTGTTCTCTTCTTTCAGAGTGAAGTCGGTGAAAAAGAAATGGCGAATCGGAAGTTAGAGAAGATGGCATCGATTGATGTTCATCTTCGTCAACTGGTTCCTGGTAAAGTCAGTGAAGACGACAAGCTTGTTGAGTATGATGCTTTGCTATTAGATCGATTTCTCGATATTCTCCAGGATTTGCACGGTGAAGATCTCC